AAGGATGCTTTAATGATCCTTGGTCCATGAGATTCCCATCCTATCAGTGCCTTTTGTGCATGTTTGGACAGCATCAGTGCAACTCCTTGTGTATGTGAAGCGTTTTCCTCTTCATGACCAGAGTATAACAGCAGTTCCCCCGAAGCTAGTCTCAGTTGTCCTACCTGTGTCCAATGCGTTTCACTGATGCCGAGCACCTCGAGGTTGTAACTTTTCATTTCTGCCGCAACTTGAAATAGTCTTCCAGTCTCCCACAATGTACGAACGTTCCATGTACCTAAAGAAATGGTTGCTCTGGTTATCAGAAGAGGCATCGGCCCCGTGACTTCCGAGGGAACTCGGCTTTCATCACGAGACGTCATAATTCTTCTTCCAACTCTCAGGGCAGGGTTAAAATGGTTTGAATTAATTTTTCTGGTTAGCATTTTTTTGTCAAGTGAGTTTTCGACGGGACGGGGTCGCCAACCCCATGTCCAACCCTCCTCCTTTATCCGAGCTTGGGACCGGCAGTTGCCCCTAAGGTTCTACTGGCGAAATTAGTGTTATCATCCACTTCGACTTATAAAATCGAGGAGTCTGTCCAAAAGTAGTTTTCATACATACTTTCTTCTAGTTTTGATTCTTCTATCTTTCATCTGATCAGAATTTTTTAAAGTACAGCAGCTTCTAATTCAAGGTGGGGTATACAAACTAATTTCAAATGGATATTCCTTATTCACTTAGGATGAAAATACATCTCATCGTGCATAGGCTATACTCAAATCGCAGGACTCCATAATCGATCTCTGGAGTATCTGAAAAATGTAAGGAAATGTGTCCTTTAACACACAGGTTCATGCCCAAATACAGTAGGGACTTCAGTGCTTCGATACCCCTCATAATTGTCTAAAATGTAAGCGGTTTTCCGTCAGATACAGTTATTTCAATTCTAAGTGGGCTAGTCCATAGAGCTAGACCCGAGTGACTCGCAAATTAGACATTTTCACCTTATTAGTACCTAGTTACCTCTAATGGAGTTCAAGCTGCTTAATTACTAACTATATCCCTTCTGCTCCTTTTTCTCTCGAAATTGCTTCTTTATCTTATAATAATAATAATAATTTATTTATTCACAAATAACAACGTGTTACATGAGGCCTGCCAATTTATAGGCTGGATCAGCGTGTTACAAATACAGCCACACTTACTATAAAAGGTTGCACGGTTAGATTAATAATGAGGGTCTGTTTCTGACAACAAAGTTAAACTATGTCAGTGACAGGAACAGTTTGATTCGGTCACACTCACAACAAGTGAATAAAAATAGGTGAGCTACACAGCGGAGTTCTTGGGAGGTTTTTGTAAATCTGGAGTAAATTTATCGAAGTGTTTCATACGAGCTGCGACCTTTAAGTGCACCTAAGTAAGATGCATTTCGCTTTGAGGCATCACGGGTGGACTGGAGTCACTGATCTCACCGTCAATACTTATTGGTCATTAACTCTACCCTCACTCCTTTTGTGTAACTAGGCCCATTAAAATTGATTGTAAGATGATATTTTATACTATACTCGAGGCCCTATATTTCACGTCCTGTTGAGAAGCACTGTTTCTGCAAGTTCCATTTTACAAATTATTCTGGCTGTTAAAATTGTAACCTTCAGGCAAGGCATCATTTAACCTACTTCACGCATTTACATTGATGTCGACTGAAGGACAGTTATCTTTTGTGTTTGAGTTTAAATTAGGAACAAGATATAAGTAAGTAGGTGAGTTCACCATGGAAATAATGAATTTAACTATTCTGGTTTCTGAATCTTCTGATTGTTCCGAACTGTCAGTATGATACTTATTTTTTCTGATCCCTGTCACTGTCCATACACGGAAACGAATATCTAAATTCAGACCAGATTTAAGCAGTACTTCATATCTAATTTCAACCTCAGTTGAAAACTGGTAAACATATAGAATCATCTAACAACAAGGTAGAGATACACATGAAGTTAAAGTGCAGAAAAAATAACGAGTTATTTACAGAATCGTTCTTTTATTAAGGAATATACATAAATTTGGTACTCTGTACCAACACGTTGCATCTGTTTTGTTGACATCTTGGTTACACTGTTTGTGGTATTCTTTGGCACGACCTCGACATTCTTTCGGTACCAGGAGATCGCCAACAAAAAGACGCCCTTTTATAGATAATATCTTCTCTGTCCTTGGTTCACAATGGGATTACGATTACTGGCGGGAACCTAATTTGCCTATAGTGGTGTTCATACCCATCCTCGACTCGTCCTAATACAGCTTTCGATTTTTTTATAGTGAAACCGAAAACACCAATATACACTTGTATAAGCATAATAAATATTGTCGTCTAAAACAGTACAAAAATTAAAGATCCAGTAGCGTAGCTGCAGAAAACGGGGAACGAGATATATTAGGAAAACGTCCTACACACAGTAGTTGTTCGAACCCTTTAGAATTCCTGCAGTTCCCCAGAGTGAGTCTTATTAAACTGGTTGTCAGGGATCTGCGAAATCTCCATCTAGTCGTTAAATATTGAGAATTCTTCGTAGTTTCCATATAATAGGAAAATCTACAGACGTGTTGTGTTTTAAGTGGGCAGTTTACAGTCAATAGATACTAAAAGACAACTTTAGTCCAATTTTTATTAATCGTAAACTCAGGTTCGTACTAGGAACTTTGTTTGCCACGTCAGCTGGTCAGCGTAGTGTCACTGCATACAAAACCTTTATACTAAGTCAATTGGCTGGTCGGACAAAAACATCCGTTGAATGTGGTCAAGTAGAAGTCAGTTTAATTGTGCGCATCACTTTGTAAGCATACTCATGTAAGCGTTCAAATCTAGATCCTTTAAAGAAGATGAAGAATCCACGAATTCTTTCGTGCATCAAAGTGTCATGCTATTTACGAGCTCAGTTAGAGAGCATTCAATATTTGCTCACACTCAGTTTGATTTAATTGGGCGAGCTCGAATCCACTGCGACTTGTTTACATTAAAAGTCGACACTAGGTTGTCTGTGATATTGTTGTAACAAACCATTAGCATGTGATTGGTAGATGCCCATTCGAAATCGTGTTATGAGACAATGGAAAAGTCTGGATTAAAACTGCCATTCATGGACTGTAGTTGTGGTTGAAGGGTTATGGAAGTTTGTTACGTATGCTTTGACTCAGGGGCGGGCCACTAGTTCAGTAGTAATGGCCTTAAAAGCTACTGCTGCTGGTTATCGCGTGAAATGATTCATACACGTCAAGGAATTAAGAACATTCATTTGTTCTCACTACGTGTCCCAGCTAATCAGGATGTACGTTGCTGAAGCGAGCTTTGAGAGTTGCGAAAGTATCTAATGAAAAATTAAATTATGTTTGATAACTTCAGATTTATAGTGGCTTGCACAAGTGCGTAGCCACCCTCTCACCTCTTTGTCCATGCCAGAGCAGTAAAATCATTCCTCCCCCTCCACTTCAGCATTTTCACCATCATCATCTTCCTCTTCTTCTTCTTCAGATAATAACATTACTTCTAGTTTGCTTCTACCGTGATATCTCGAATTCTACTTTCTGTACCTTGTCAAGTGAAAGGTCGTTGTAGTGGTTCGCATCTTGTCCGGAAGTAACCTGTTCACTAGGAGAGCATTCAAAGTAGTGTGGATGGTGAGAACTGGAGGAGAGAATAAAAGGTGAGCCAACGACCCAGCAGGCTCATAGAATGCATTCAAGACGTACAGAGATAAACAATAATCAGTGATGACGAAAGTTTCAGATTTAGATGATCTAGAAAACGAAAGTGGAAGTAGATATAGTAAGGAATTTAAACTACTATTGATTAACTTTCTGTGTAGGAGCCTGAATAGTTTGTGCGATCAATAGACATAATTGATGTTTTATAACAAGCAAAAGGCGGAACTTGTTGAGATATTTTGATTTTAGTGGACGGATAGCTCAGATATTCAGCCAGGCCACCGGAGAGTTAGTAGTATGACTACTTTTTTAAGCTACTACCCGAGGAATTGATGGTCGCATTGCCGACTGATTCATTCCTCAGATGATCAGATACTCACAGAACCCTTCTAGAAAAATGTTAACACAAACCTTTGGCCTCTGTCTTCATAATACGAATCTAAATAGGAATCTAGATTCATTAATGATGGTGGTTAAGAAGTCATAGTAAGTAATGACTTCAGAAGAGCGGGCAGCCGTAAAGCTGCCAGATCTTGTGGTGCCGTAAATTACGAGGATTACCGCGAATCACTTGAAATTCTGAGTTTGACAGTACAAGCTGAAGACTAGCACAGTTTGCCATTTACAAAGACAAAATATTACAGTCCAATGAACAATGCATTGGTTTGGTTTAAATACATATATCTGACACTGAGGACTGAGAATCCCGGTCTGCTAATGTGAAAGCTGCTGGTAACAGCTGGTTCCCTAATTCTTTGAGACGAATTCGCTTAAATCACGAGAAAAAATTTCGTAATGAACTGACTGAACGAGTGCAGTCGAGTGACAAGACTACCATCTGCTGGGCATTGGCAAATACTTGAAACCGAACAGAAACAACAAGAAGCGAGCGCAAATAAATTGATTGGTTTATATAAACTCAAGAAAAATATATTGGACATATAGGACAGCTTTGAGAAAAGACTTGATAAACACGTACTCACATACGGATTATCGTCTCCCTCGTGGACAAGCTGTACCTGATGCGTACCTGAGGCTTGCTACTTGTTATTATTGCCATCTCCTCGTATCACTATCTCGCCTATTATCTCTTCCTTGCTTACACTACGGTCCTCTCGAACAATCTTCACTACCAATTAATAAACCAAATTGTCTTCTCATTAGCATTAGAATTTCCTCCTTATTATTCTCCACACTGCAACTAACTGACCTCCGGTCTAGCAATGTGATAGCAGCTGGTATTCGTAAACCCTACTGCCCTGAAACAAACATATTCATTAAAAGCACGGGGCATTCAAACAACTGCCATCTAACTAGAATTAGACGGTTGACTGGCTAGACCCAATTCATTGGACACAACCGAGCACCTGAAACTGTGCTGAACGAACAAGAACTGAGCGCAAAGAAACCAAATGGTTTATACTGGATCGTAACACAGATATTGGATGTTGGATATTGGATGCGAGGGCACTCTAGGTTTATACGCTACTAATTGGATGGCGTTGTCTTCTGATAGTTATATCAAGAGTAAGCATGTTATTTTCGATTTTCTCTTCTGATATGCACACCTTAAGAATTGCTTTTTAACATGCAGTCATTTTTTAGAGGATGCCTTGTCGTCTCTTGAAGACCTGTGCGTCAGATGCGTATGCAAGAATTTGAATGTGTTGACGTACTTAAGTAATGAGAACTGTGAAGTTAGACGAAAATGGAGGTTTCCATATCCAGGATTTCGCCTGGTTGCCCGTCCTTCCCAGAAAATTTTATTACAACTTTGCAAACGAAACGCTCTGGATGATGATCGAATGAGTCTTTTTAATGCAGACAGTGTTGATCTTATGTCTCCAGTTATAAAGGAAGCTAATGTCAGCCCATCGTCTCTAAAAGTTCTCAAGGATTTTCATCTGTATAGTCTTACCGCCATGAACTTAACCAAAGTAAATCTAAATACCATTATAAGTTGTCTTGGCGAGTGGACTGTTCAAAACCTAATGTGCCTCAATATATCTGGAACATCTATTCTGTGCGAAACTCATTTACCCATACTAGTCGCACTTGGGAGGTTTAAGAATCTTAGCGTCCTTAATGCAAGTAGAACTGAACTTAGTACACAGTGTTTACAAATTGTTGCCGATGACCTTCTAAATCTTCGTTATCTTAACATTTCCCGAACACGAGTAACGGACATCACACCCCTATTAAATATACGCGACCGTCTCAATGGTTTGATAATGCATCGATTGCAACTAGAAAGGACAGAAGATATCGCAAAGTTACTGTATACTGTGGTGGAACTCAATCAACTGCGTATACTTGATGTATCTGACAAACCACGAAACACTGTTGGCAGATACGATGCTGTCGACAAATTTTGCTCACCAGAGGCCTTGCCATTCTTGGAGCATATTGATTTGTCAGGAAACCAATTCGGATTGAAACTTAGTGATGCAAGGTATATCAATTTATGACTTAGTTTCTATTACTTTTCAGAGCCTTGCTCGAAAGCCACCCTAGACTTACGTTCGCCGGGTTCGCATCATGGCTTTCAAGTCATGAACATGAGTTGGAAGGAATATACAGACTGTCTCATCAGTATCCCCATATTACAGTAAGTTGAGTATTTATTTGCCTATTAGCCTTTAAATCATAATTTTTGGGTAAAATTCCAACGTTTAAGTAACTCCCAAAAATGAAGATATACTCTTTGTTATCAGAGAGATCAATTTGTATCTAGACAAGATTAGTAACTAAGTTCTATTCAGAACCTTCTGTAAAAACCGAATCCACAGTCGTTTGTCATGAGATCGTTTCGATAATATCTATATTATAAATCAAATAACTTGTTAACGAAGTGCAGTCGGTCAAAAACCAATCAACTGAGCATTATATAATAGTTTACAAAAATTTGATAACAAGACAAAGTATTAATATCTAGTCACTGCAACCTAGTTTGATTGAGTTAGCTTATTATAAACCCTAGATAATTTTCTATGAGGATTAATGACCTAGATTTTTTTCGGTTGTGTAATTTTCGTCGCTTATGCATAAATACACCTATTTGAGTTAGTAGCCACCATTCGTGTTGTAGACCGGTTGATAGTGTCGAAATTGACTTGAAATGATCTCATACCGTCTTCCTCCATTACTTTGCTCCATATTTCAACATACCTATGAGTTACAGCATTACGGTAGGTTTTTTAGTCAATGTATTAGGTCAAATTAATTCCTTTGTTTTATGACTGCACATAAATTTAAGGGATATCGGAAAATGTTCATTTTTCATTCGTTGGATAAATGTCAATTTGATTCTTCGACAAGTTAGTTTTGGAACTGAGTAGTAACTATAGTTTTCCATAAATAACTCATGCTTCACAAACCTTAAGATCATCCTTATTGTAGTTTAGTAGCACTAGTACTCCAAGACAACATTTCAGTAAGTAGTTTGCCTGACTACTCACACACTCGACCATCCAACCTGTTTATAGAAAACAAACCAAACATATCCGTTAACTTCAACATTTGAATGTATGATTTACTGGTTAAACAAAGTATCGGGAGTGTTATTTCATTTAAAGCAAACTTATTATATTCCAGCAGAAAGATGAAAAACTAGAGAGCAGGAAAGGTAAATAAGCTAACAAAGCACATTCAAAAGGCTTACTGATTTGTTTTGTCATTTGTGCACAAAACAAAAGAACCAAAAATGTGAGCCACGCTATGATGATACTAAAGTCATCAATTTCAATCATTGCTTAATGTGCCTTAATACAGATATATCAGACTATCATCCCTCTTATCAGACTATAATAAGTAGCTAATTTACCGCCATTGCTGACCACTCTCAGCATCGTAAATATTGTGGTGAAAGCTAACCTCTAAAATAGTGCGATCTTAATTTTTGGATACAAGTCCTTATCACACTATGCGAATATAGTCTTAACAGGTGTCAGTTATAGCCTAAATATGTTAACTATGATGCCTTTGGTCGCGTCAACTTAAATCTATAAGAAATCGTTTTATTAGATTTTTAGGTGCATCATTACTTTTTCCAGCAAGCGTAAGTTCTGGATTTCTTATTGATGGACTCTAAGTATGCAAAAGACCCTTTATATCATGACTACCTTTCCCATAAGTTGTTTGATTCACAAACCATACTGTTCAAAAAATTCATTGAAAGAACTAATGGTTACTTCTAGATGTTGGGAGACCGAGGGGATCAACTCTTGTTAAATACTTTGACGCGTAATAAGGATAGAGCTTTTTATCTTCAGCATGCTCTCCATAGTATTTTTGAAGCGACGAGCAATCGGGAATCCGTTAAACCAGATCTTCTGCAGGTAAGTAACAGATATTTGTGTACTTATTAATTTTAGCGGAGATAAATTTTTTATTTCTTAACAGTAAATTTGTTGAATATTGTGTTAAGTTCGTCCTGATTGTTTTAACATAACGGACGAATCAGGTATGTTGATGATTAATATAAAGATAGTCACCAGCACTCAACTTCATCAATCTGCGAATCTCGTTTCTATGTCTGTATCACCAGACAAACAGACCACCAAAATTTCATTACTGAAACACTTGGTCATAGCGTATGCTCTGAATTATTGCGTGGTTAGGATACCGAAAGTGCTGTTTGCTGTCCTTATTCAATAATTTCTTCCTCAGATTTTGATGGAATTGATCTCCCATAGATTCATCAATGTGAAAGAAAAAGAGCTTGTTTGAAAATACTGACGAAATTCTAAACAAATTTATTAACAATGAAATGGTATTTAAGCTGCAACTTTGGCCTATGCTTGTTTGCTAAGTCCTACTTTGTTTACATCTATCTATCGTTTTTGGTGGTCGATATTCCCGTAGACCTTTCTTGTCAACAGCGTAAATCAGGACAGTTCTTTATTTGGAAAAGGTGAAATTAAGCTAATGACTACTCCGATCCTGTATGCGCGTTTCGGAGACGCAGCATAGATCGATAGCGTGAGATTATTAATTCCTAGCTGAGAAAGCCTGTTTTCCTATTTGGTATAAGGTTCGAACAAGAAAAGCTCCAATATGTAGTTTAGAGTGTGGATTCAGGGGACCAGGAGTAAGGTTTCGTGTACTCGAATGGTTTGCATTAGCGACTAGAGGTGACAAAGGAACATGAAAGTGTTTGGTGATGTAGGTGAGGGGGTTATTAAAAATTATCGAGGGATTTGATTCTGGCTAGTTTTGTCTCGTGTGTTGTTACGCGAATGAGTGCGGATGTCACTTCTTGGCTGTCCACACCGTGGAAGGGTGTTTCTTGAGGAACCTGTAAAGGAAATTGGGTTGGGGTTGATCTTAGAGACTTGGGAGTGTGACCACAGAGCGGAATGGACAACTGCTTGAGTCCTGTCACACATGTCGTTTTTATAGGAAGTTTGTCAAGTATTAGCTCCGCTCTTTTTGAGAGACCCTACCTCCGGAGATGGAAATTGTTGGGGTAAGATGAGTTGTGACATTTTTATGGTCGACTTTTTCTAACCTTCTTCTTCCTTGTGAGAAGGCAGCGTTACTGCAGATGCTGGTTGTCCGAGGAGAACACTCTACTGCTGTCACATCCCTCTACCGTCAGCATTCCGACTTCGGTCTCAGACCTTGAGTTCTGCTTTTACTCTCACTGTTCTCCTATCGACCTGCCTGTCTGGTAGAATCTACAGGAACATATGTTGCAGTCAATGTAGCTTGGTTGGGTCCTCAGGATAGGCAAGTCCAACCACCACGTCAAGGTAGCAGCTACGGTCAGAGTTTTTATGTTTAGTACGATGTTTTTTCGTCATGATAATTATTTTGATTTACTTCGCTTTTTGTTATAAGTATAACTTTATTGATATGGCATTATACAATTTTTATTCTAATGTCGGATATCCTTATTTTGTAGTGTGGATTCGAAAATAACTAAATATTTTACGTACAACTTTTCAGGCTGTTTTGCGCGTAATGAGGCTGCATTTACGCAGAATGGAAATGATATTGGCAGGGACTGCTGTCATCTACAACTTAACTCGAAGTGAACAAAGCAATCAGTTACCTTTAGACCTACTCAATCGTGCCGTACGTATGACTTTAACAGCAATGGAAAAGTTTCCGGATAACAGACAGTTGCAAAAGAATTGCTTTCTAACATTGTGCAGCGACACTGTACTTTATCGTGCTGTAAGTAAAAAATATGCCCATCTGTTTCACTGTGGTTATAGTTTCCCTGTCCACTGAATTCATATGTAAGTTACTGTATTGTTTTGGTTGGTCAGTTTCCAACCAAATTTAGCGCCTTGACTAATTAGTTCATGAATAATGAAGAAAATATCAGTGATGAAATCTCGTATCGAATAAGTGGTGTTTACTTTGTTTGAAATTATGAGTGATTTTGACTCATGAATTTTATGTAGATAAAAACTGACTAGCCTAGTGACAAGCTATTTACTTGATTCCTTCGGACTACTTGAACACACTAGGTTTATACTTTTCCTGTGTGCATTAATATCTTTGAATTCATCCCCCTACTGGATTTTTATAATGGTCAAATTTGACAACTGAATAATCACAAGGTACTGATTAGTACAGTTGTCTTGAAATAAAACACTAGCTAACAGTAATTCTTACCTCATAAACCCCAACATATCACTAGTGTTACACAAACAATATATTGTGATACAAACAGCTTTATTTCCATTTTATCTCGTAGTGAAACTTTATAAATGAGTTCAGGGTTTCGAACATCAATTTGCTAACCGTTCACTAAGAAGAAGTTTGTAGGATCCTTTATCTTTACATACTAATACTGTTAGTTTTTAAAGGCATAACTGAATTTTATGACTTTCATAGATTTTCAACTCCAGGTATCGTTACTAAATCGTATGAGCTACACAAATAGGATTCAAAATGCAAAAATATCAATGTGATTTTAAACAGTAGATCCTTTTTCAAAAGTCCTAGTAAGGTTTATTTCTTAACTTATCCATGTCCTCTGCACATACTCGTGATTTATTTACGGCGATTGCCTGTTATCGATAAAACTTTAGAGGAAACGGTTTTAATCTCTAGGGCCTGGTAATCTCACATTTGTTCGTTTCCTTTAACAAGTGAGATCTTTAGCTTTTCGGCCTAGTACTGAGTTCCGTTATCTATAATCTTGTGACTCACGATCTTTAAGATAATATTTCGTTTATGATCATTCTATTCCTACCAATAGTCTTGTTTTACTTTATTTCATGTGATATCGGATATAAATGACAATCCGTCACATTAAGCCTCTAGTGTGACATTTGTATATTTGGTATAAATATGTTATGTTTGTAGCATAGTTGCTGGGTGAAACTGTCAAAACTGATTTCTTATCACCATACTAAATGGTAACCAACTTTTCTCATCTTGTTTGAGTGAACCTGCAGTCAATCTATTTGTTTATAAGTTCCATGCGTATATTTCCTTTTACTATTGAACCTAATTGAAAGTAACGTGTATTTGGTTGTATTTAACAGACTTTCAACTGTATACAGTGTTGTGAACTGGTTTTCAACAACTTGTTGTCGTTTGATGATATTCATATGAAACGTATGGGTGTAGCCATTATTTCTATACTAGCTGCCGAAGTAAGCTGTTTTCTAGATTATGATTAAAATTTTTCACTGTTCTGCTTCATATCTAGTAGTGTCTAGTTAGCCTGAAGAATAACTCCACGGAAACTATCCATCTGAATTACGAGTCGTCTCTATTTCAGTTATCAGTTTTTTCCTGGTTTTTGTTTTTATTTGAGATAAATAGTTTCCCTTAACTTGTTTATACTGTGGTTAATTGTTGTGTACTGTTAGTGTTTTACATAGAGTAGTTTCATGGTTATAGTTTCATCAAACACACTGTTTGTTCAGTAGTGGATTTATAACCGTGATCAGGTTATTTATAAAAATATCCATAAGTAATATGTAAATCCAAGCTTTTGATCTCGCTATGACTAAAATTGGGCTAAGGTAACCAGCACCCAAAATTGTTTAAACGCTGTTAGTGTAACATACTTGGATTAGGTAGCTGAATAGAGTGCTAATTTTTTCTATCATTAAATTGAATAACTTTTTTATTTTAAAACTAATTCTTGTTTTCGACGAGACGTTTTACATCTAATATACTTAGTTAGCTAATCCCTAATACTATTTTAAGACAGTTGAGTCTCATACAGTGAAATCAAGTCTACCAACTAATATTTACTAGTCGAAACTTCAGTCTAGCTACTTATGGGGTGTTGGTTTCTAATTTAAAGCAATAAGTACTTCCTTCAAGTGATGAAAATATCAATACGCCACACACTTAAGTAGGATAAAATGTTTGGATTGTTTTACCAAACCATGATGTTAATTTTATGGGTGCTTCTCAAACTTCATTAATAAAAAGGAGTAATATTTTTCTCTCTCATCAGAAGAGTTTAACTGCTTAGATAAAGTGAATAATTAGCTCATGGGATGTTTTAATCGAAGCTCATAAGTTTCTGTGTAAAATTCACAATGGCAGATGTACCAAGACTTTGAAACCATATACAGTTCCCTTCACTTAAGCTATTATCTATTTGTAGTATGCATTGGTTGTATCGAAATAGGTAAAGTAAGTGTGCATTCTTCAGTTAATGGCTCTTAAGCGTCTAAACTATAGAGCTTTAGGTCAATTGACCAATATTGTTGATTTTTTGTTCAATTAAGTGAATATTGTTCTAACAGCTAGTCTGTACGAAAAAAATTAAGATTTGTTCATTCATAATGTGGGGAATTTTCTTAGATTTCAACATCTGGTCTATCGGATTTAGCAAAAGACCCAAGAAGAATTGAATGTCTCCTGAGTTATGTTGCTGACAAATGTCTTTTAGTGTCAGATGTCCCAGATCTTGGTTCAGCCTTACGAAGTTATATGCCACAGTTACGCTTACGCACTGAAGGAGCACCAATTTTCGATACTACTTTAAGATTCACTTTATCCGCCTTATGGAATCTCACGGATGAATGTCCAGAAGCCTGTTTAAGATTTGTCCGTCAGGGTGGCCTAATCATATATGAAAAAGTTCTTAAAGTAAGCTAATATTCTGTTTCTATTTTATTTCTTATGAGTTATGATTTTATCTCAGACAGCTGTAGTCATCAATTCGATTAGAGAAGTCGCAGAGGTTGTTGATGTAGTCTGAATGAGTTTTTTCATGAAATCATCCCTGTTATTCGATAATGTTTTTGTGATTAATTGTGTCGTAGTATTTGTGCTTTGTTATTATTATTGTTATTTTTATTATTATTAACGACCAAGGGACGTGTTTACTGCGCAGCAGTTCGCTCTGTCCCACTTTATGGCTGTGAAATATGGCCAGTAAGAATCGAGGATATTCATAGGTTACTAGTATCCGATCATAAGTGTCTTCGAAGTATTGCTCGGATATCCTGGGACAGTCGATTAAGCAATGCAGTTTGTGGTGGTCGGTGTCTCACCAGTTTTGTGATGGCTGGTATTCGATATATTCTTAGACTTCGTATACTGCTCCTCCTGACGACCGTTACTAGATGCCGCCCAACGGTGCATAAATCAAAAGACGAATACGAAGCTTTGAGCGCGTTTATTGTCGTTCCACAAACAGACTGCCAGAACCATAGGTACAAGAAGCAAAATGGTATGCGAGTGCCGAAGGGCAAACGAGTAAGTGAGCGAATGAATGAGTAAGATTAAAATGTGCATATATGTACATAAGCGTGAGTGATCGAATTATATCAGTCAGTCAGTCAGATGCAACGTAGAACTTCGTACGTAAGTACATCAGTTCATGTTGCCATACCACATCAGCACAGAGATATAATTTTCAATTCAAATCCAATAGTAGAAGAGGTAGTAAAGGTATTAGAAGTAATCGGAGAGGTTAGGATTAGAAGATATTCAAGAAATATGATTCAGTGAGAAAAGTTTCGAAAGTCAAAACTAGAGGGGTTGAAGCATCCAGAAGATTAGCATTTGAGAGAACACAAAGAATAAATGCACCGGCGCCATTGCAAACGGTTTTGAGCCACGTCATTCAGGGTATCTAACCATCGATTATTATCATCTCGCGGACCCCAACCAGGTAGTCGACAACTATCGACATGACTCAGTCCATTATTATTTACTAGTCGCATCAATTTTAATCGTTCGTAAAAAAGTATTTATGTTTAAACTTCGACATTGTATACAATCTAGCCCAAAGTAATCCTCTTTCAATAGAATTAAATTAATGCGCGTTTTATGCTTGATTTCAAATGAGGCATTGGGTAACAGTTTGTCGATCAATTAATTTCCAGCTTTTTTTATGCGGATTAACGTTAAGTTCGTTTGCAGTTATGGATAATGTACAGCTATTTTCATTTTTTTTCAATCACAAACTTTTCACTTTTTGTATTGTACGATTCACCTGTATCCATGTTTTTACCATCTGGTTTATTGTAGCGATTTGCTGACCAAGGTGAAGAGACTAAAAATCATGTCTATACAAAGTGTCTGGGTCTACTTGTAAGTTTTATTTTTATAGAATATGTTTCTTTTTTATTGTATTGTTAGTTGATTCTAGTAAGTGTTCATAAGTCTTTGTTTCAGTTCAGTTAATCAACATAAAATATAGTTGCTTAAGTTATGTGGTCGGTTTGTATAACAATACCTAGTTTGCAGGTGATGATTTCTAAACAGTAGTTTCATTTTAGGTTAAATAATTTGCTTGACTACCTTTTGCAATAGCCGTAAAAAAGGAACCTTACACGTAAATATATCTATCAAGGTGGTTGAAGGTGTGTTGGCGCCTGTCACTTTCAGGTCGTCTACATCGTGGAAGGATACTCCATCTTGAGATACTTGAAAATGAAGCTAAGTACAGTGACCCGAAAGCGTGACCACGGAACCCAAGAAAAAACTTGAACCCAGTCTTTAGTAGTTCCGAGTACCTTATCGCCGTACTTAAAAGCTTTACTGCAGAAGAAAAAAATTCGTGGAACAAGACAAAATGATCTGTTTTCGGTGTCGACCATTTCAACCCTTTCCTTCCGTTGTGAGAAGGCAGCATCACTGCAAATGCTAGTTGTCTGAGGACAACGCCTTACTTCCATTACACCCCAGTACAGTCAATAATACGACTTTACCGTCAAAACTTAAGTTAATACTTTCAGTTTTATCGCTTTCCAACCGATCTGTTTAGTACGTTAAAGGAGCAAATACTCTAGCATATATATATGGGTATGCTTTTAACGATATGAAAACCCAACTGCCACATCACAGCAGCTGCCACAACCAGAAAATATATATATGTTACTTTTTAGCAGGAAAATTAAACTACTTATACCTCAGATATCTCAGTAAAACCATCAACTTAAACAGGACTTTTCCCCACTTTCATTCAGTTCGAAGATTGATTGTGAACCTTATAGTATTATGACTTGTGTTATATCGTCATTTATCACGGGGACCCTATTCACTAATTTGGATACTATTGTCTATCGAGCTTCAAACTTTTAGAAGTGAAAGGAAACGAGCGAAATAAGGAGTAGTATGCTGCTTTATGGTCTTTGGGTATTTTTTATGTTTTTATGTACTCCACTAGCAGTAAATTCATAACTCTGTTAATGTTTTAATCGGTTGCTCGACAAAATGCCATCCTACGTTCTCAAACCATCAATGAGGCTATCAGATAACTGTTCAGTTGACCTCAAGTAACCTGCGTTTATTTAAACTCATGTCATGTGATTGTGAAGGTAAAGTATAAGACGATTAAAAATCAATATTAGGATATATTTGGTACAGAACTGAGTGACAAATTTACAGCCAACAAACTTGGTTTATGTGAGTTAGAGGATCTCATAACAATTGGTAAGTCAAGACGTGTGTTGGGTGTTTAGAGGTAGTTAACGAGTAACCCAAAACCTAGTTTTCGAACCAGTTGAAACTTGTTATCACCGCGTAACCAGAATCTTGAGGAAGCTAGTGTTTCCTATGAGATTTGAACCCGCGTCATCCACCACTGAGCTATTTGTCCCATGTGTGACATTTGGTTGATCACCAGTGGTAAATATCATGTTTGACCAGTGCTTATGTGAGTTCTACCAACCGAGTTGCCATGTGGTCACCAATCTACGTGGCTCTACATCGTTGTCACTATTTTTTTGTTAGTTGGAGATAGTAGTAAACCCCGAACATAGGTTCAAAAGAATTCTTTCGGCAGTAGGAACAAAACAAACTCATTATTTGTTACCATTTTGTCGAAAGATGACCGACATTTGGAACTTTATTGGGAATAAAACAACTTAATATATACATGTTAAAATTGTGCTAACTAATTTACCAAAGATTACCTAGAAAGATTTAATATTTGTCCTTTCCCATCCCCTAACAATACACATTTACGTTGTTCATATTAATCTCACATCCCTTTAATACATGAAAATGTTTAAAAGTAGTTTACCTACCTAAAAACGCATCTGAAAACCCAATAGTTAGGATACATAAACACATTGAAATTCTCACAAATACAAACGATCATTGAAATGAATTCACATTATTAACAGGTTGAAAGTTTTCATTATCGGCATTACCTCCATATTCTCGATGTTTTCAAACATGATTATGTAATCAATCATTGTTAGACCACTGTTAGAAACCTGGAAGCACTGGACGGCCGTTTCGTCTTGGTATGGCGGTCTAACAATGATTGATTGATGATTTCAAATGTGTTAAAACACAAACCTCCAAAACTCTGCCACAAAATTATCATGTAAACGATACTTATGAAGGATAATACGCAATGTGATACGATAAATAGATTTTGTATAGTTTTATATAACTTGTATTTATAACTGCATCATCGCAATGATCACTTCCGTTTCATCTGTACCATATTTTGATGAACTTGTATTTTAACCTTTGGTTTAAAATACTTCGATAATCGTACAAAAGTGTTTCACAAACTGTTCATTCAACGTGTTGTGTAATTATAAAGTCTTTAAAAGAACGATTATTTTCTGGTGAACTAAACACCACCACAATCATCCACCTGAGCTACAAATTTTCTCCACCATCTCAAAACGATTATTTATACCATAAATTTTATTTATGGGATGATTAGGATTTTTCCAGTACAAACACAAACAAGTTTGAATTGTAATAGAACCGGATATCTGACGCTCAGTAATACCTCAGCGTTCATGTAATATAGAGAAGACGGGTCTGTTAAGATGGTTTTGCGTTCCTAATTTAAGTCAAAAATCGGAAAAGAACAATTGTGTTTAATTAGTACATAATCCTATTAACATGAAGTACCTAGAGATAACAAATTAAGAGCGATAACAGCCAGTCAGATCATTGGGGAAATATAAATATATTTTTCACTTTTTATTTAAAGCATAAATATTGATATAAGTAGACACCAAAATATGTATGCGCCACACAATAAAAATGAGGTTGTGAAAAGATAGAGAAAGAACGGTTAGTATAACAAAGAAAATTCGATAGAAATTAGTGTATCCGGGCGAAATACTAATAATAATAGTGAGAGGACCAGTTTAGTTAAGGAAATAACAATCAGAAAAATCCTTTCACTTAAAGAAGTTCCTATCACTTCTGAATAAAATGAAATAAATTCACAGCACGATCGCTGCAAGCTTCTGTTTTGAGCTATGTCTGATAACGTTTGAAGCCACTGATTCTCATCATTCCCAGTACCCCAACCAAGTAGTCGTAAAGGTCCAACAAATGCCAATCCTGTACTTCTTTTATACCACATAGAGCAAGACTGCTCTCACTGCTACTGAAGATGCGATGTTTTACAGCCTGACTAACATCACGAATGGCTTTCACAATACGTAAATTGATCTCATCACTCACTCAACCACCATAACTTACATAGCTAACCAGATACACATAAACATTTCAACTACTACTATTTGCTCACTACCAAGAATGAGTACAGGTTCAGGGTTTTTCCGGTCTTGTGACAGTGCTTTGTACTCAAGTGAAAAGCGCAAGTCAAGCCTACGGACACTGACTGCCAACTGATTAAGTCACTAGAAAACTATCATTGAGATCATCTTTTAAAGAAAGAACTGATATGTGATAACAGTAATCTGAGCTCTCCTTAACACTAGTAGGACAATAAAAAACCTAGATTAATCTATTCAGTTGTTGTAATAATAAACTGAATTAAGCCTCTTGGTTCCAACATCCTCTCATTTAATGTAGTCCCTAACCAATCTTTATTTTAGGTCTATTCAGCTACGATGACCTTTCTTTGCCTCTATCAAGATTAAATAAAAAATTTAATCTTGCAATGGATGTCTAATGCAAGTTTATGGTATGCCACAAATTTGTTGGAGTTAGAAGTGTAGATTGTTGCATACTGATTCTGTCAGTCAGTCTTGTGTAACGTAAAATCTGGCGCTGGTGTCGTTTTAAGTTGCTACTCTACATGAACACATCGAGATATTAGAGCTGTATACGTAGTAGCAATAAATGGTGGTAGAAAAAGATGAGTATATAAGATATAATTCCAGAGGTAAGCGTGGATACATAAACTGAAGAAATGGTTTTTTTCAAGATTGCTAAGAAACTTAGAAGTTGTGTGGAAATAATTACTCTTGTTACCCCTCATAGGGCTCAGGCCGCCGACCACCATTCTCCAGCTAACTCTATTCTGGGCTTTCTCTTTCACTTCTGGCCAATCGCGACTTATTTTCTTCGTGTCTCTCTCCAATCCACGGTGCGATGTGATTCCGAACCTACCATTTCTCCTCTAAACCTGATGGTCCCCAGTTACGGTTGCTTCGTGATGTGGTTAGGTAATCTCCTCAGTATGTCCTATCCTCCTCCAGCGCTTTATCCTAATTTCTTCCTCAGCTGGAAGCTTGTTTGTTCGTTGCCACAGTAGTTTGTTTTTGATGGTATCTGGTCAACGGATGAGGCGTATCTTGCGTATAGAACTGTTTGCAAATACTTGTATTTTCCGGATGACGGCTTCCGTAATTCTTCAAGTTTCCTCTCGGATAAAGGAAAAGGGTTGGAATAGGTTGGCTACCCCATCCCGTAGAAAACTAACTTGTTAAAAAGACGCTAACCAAAAAAATGTTGAGACCTACTGCTGCAGAGGCTGACGCAACACTGACCGTCTTCTGCATTTTTTGGTGTTCGTGGGATCTACGAAGTCCGGATCGTCCAGCTGCGTCAAAGCTGTCCACTGTATACCTTCTTCCCCCTGAAATGTTATATTTCTCATAATCCAATCAACTACCAGAAGAGAAAGGGTGAAAGTAAGCAATCTTTTCTGAAACCGGTCTTCACTCGGAATAAGTATTTGAACTACACTCCATGCACGATTTCTCAGTTTATTGCATCGCACGAATTTCGTATGATATTGAATATGTGTGCAGGTACACCATAGTGTTCAAGAAGCCCACATAGTCTCATCCTTTTTACGCTGTCAAGTGTTTCCTCTTAGGTAAAGAAGTTGATGTAAAGTGGTGAGTTCCATTCATTTGGTTGTTCGACAATGATCCTTTCTATTGCGATTCGGTCAGTACAAGATCGGTCCTCACAGAATCCTACTTGATTTGGAAGTTCCGTCTCTCTGGAGTCTTTCATTCGGTGCAATAACGTTGTTGAAGACTTCCTGGTGTTCATACGGGAGTGATACTTCTGTAGTTCTCACATTTGCCAAGATATCCTTTCTTTACTATGTTGATCGGTTATCCTTATCTCCAATCTATTGGTACTTCATCTTCCTCTCAAATCTGACATGTTAGAGATATTGCTTTTTTGATCCCTTGTACTATTCTTGCGTATTCGGTCTATGCCTTGACGTTATCTGCTCATGTTTAGCTGTTACTGACTACTGTCTTGTGCTCTATTTCTTGAATCTTATCTAGGGTATCGACAGAGACCCGTTTTTTATGATAGTGCTTCTTGTGGCCCAGAACTTGATGACATGTTGAAGTTAATGTTCGATACGCTTCTCTGTGGTGAAAACCATGTAACTTTGTGTGTGTGTGTTTGTGTGGGAACAACCATTTTGTCGAAGTCACATAGGTTTGCGAATCCCTCAGCATTTTCGTTCGTTTCTCCCAGTCCATGTCATCCTACGATGTCTTCGTCCAATCCAAACTTGGCCTTTTGGTCTCCCATTAGAATGGCCGACTTGTTTTCTGTGCATTTCTCTACTACAGGATGGAACGTCTCATCAAATCGATCTTTATCGTATTCATTGTTATTATTGTTTTGCGCATAGCACTGGATGACATTGATTGTGATGCCGTTTCTTTTTGTCAAAGTATGATTTCATGCGATTCCCATTTTATCAGAGATTTATGTGCTTGTTTGGTCAGCTTCCTTGTGTCTGTGTGATGTTTTATTCTTCATGGTTGGAGTACGATAACAGCTCTTTAGAAGCCAATCTTAGTTGTCCAGTTTGCCTCCAATGTGTTTCACTTTTTCCAAGAACCACAAGTATGTATCTTTTGATTTCCGCTGCAGCTTGGATGGTTCTTCTGATCTCACACATTGTGCAGACTTTCCATGTACCCATATTAATGGTTGCTCTGGTTGTGAGAAGGGGTATCGGTTTCGTGACTTCCGAAGAGACTTGGCTTTCACTATGTAGCGTGACTACTCTTCGAAATGAATACCTTGCGAGTGTTGGGGTAGAGTGTAAATGGCTCAAATTAATTTTTGTGGTTAGCGCTTTTGTTGGCAAGTTTGTTTTCGGCGGGATGTTTTTGACAACCTCACGCTCAACCATCCTTGTTTTTCTGGACTTCGGACTTGCAGCAACTCTGGAGGTGATGTTTACATACTTACCTACTTTATGATTCAAGCACCCACGAAGGATTTACTGAATTGGTTTAACTGAAAACAGTATGTGTGGCATAAGTAAAGAATGGAAATTCCGACTAGAGATATAAGAGGTAGACCGAGAAATAAGAAGTAACTTGGTTTTTTATTGATTTATTGATTTTCAACACTCTAAAAAACAAAAACATTTATGCGACTTTTTCATAGTCTATCTGATAAATACACAAACAAAGATCATGAAAAATCAGTTTCTAGATTTTGAAGACCCTTGACACTTCTCATTCGAGGTCAAATACTTGTTCGATCTCTGTTTCTCCTTTTTTCAGCATATTCCTTACAATTCATAGAGTAAAACCTTTCGTTTCCACTGTCATTTCATGTTATTCCTAACACCAAGCGTTTAACTAAACTGGCTGTAATTTTAGCAGTGATTCATACTTTTTTGATAGGAGATGGGTTGGCAATATCTATTATATTGTGAACGATTCTGAGGTTAGTTTGTAGTTACAAGCTAGAGCAAAACAGTTGTTTGTTCCCCATCAATTTCCCATTGTTTCCCTGCTGAATCCACTCCATAATGTAAACTATTTTAAATTCTAGTGTATTTGTTAATCCTTAAAATTTCAATTTTGTATACGTGAATGATTACTATTTTGATTACACTTGATAACTATTAACCTCCAGTAAAAGTCCTTGTGCATTTTATTATATATTCTTTTCTCTTAGAATAACATAGCAGAAGTCGAACAAACACGTGAATCGTTATTAAAAGAAAGTCTGATGAACTTCTTTTTGTAAGCTTCAGCTAGTTTTGCGTTGATATTTATGTGAAATAATGCCATTATATGAATTAAGTAACCGTTATAAATATTCCATACCTCTCTTATGTGTGTAAATCTTTGATATAGACTTTCTTTTCGGGTTTTGGTTTATTTACAATTTCTACAACAACTAGACAATTTTATAATGTGATCATACATAATTATTTGATAAATATTAGCGCCACAATACGTATTTCATTTTATATTTTGAGTATAATTAGTTGAAATTTATATATGGGAAAATCTTATTCAATGAAATTAATATTCTGATATCTCAATACGACTTACCAAAATATTTTACTTGGAAATCAACAGAGGATAGTCATTTTGCACATTCAGTATATCATCGGATTTCCTTGTTTTATTTCATACCTTGTTAATGTTTTTGACAGATTCTACTGGAAGCTAGTAAATAAAGAGGGTTCATTCATCACCAGTCTGAAATAAGATTTTCCTTACTTCCGTGCGTTAATCTACTGTTTCCACTCAGGTCCTTTGAATTCCAAAAATTTACATCGAGGTTGACTGGTGATCGTGGGTAACCGAAGTGTGATTGGAGGCCAATTAAGTTGATCTCTAACATGTTCTGCCCATCGATCCAATCTCCCGGACTGAGAATGAATAACAGTCTTATCTTTTTCCGAGATACTCTCACTAACGGTCGGATTCCTAATTCCGGTTTCCTTGATAAGTCTGAACAACTATCTACTGTTGCCTATTGCTACTGCCTCTTCCATCTCTCTTGCTTTCGCTACCCATCGTTGTTGGCGATCATTGCGTAGACTTCTTAGCAGCCTGCACTTAAGCTTACTACTCTCTTCGTCGTTTTCAGAGCCAGATAGGGTGAGATTTCGAGCATTTGTCGGTTCAATAGATGCTACTGAAACCCACTGCTTCTCCTTTATCTTATGGTTTACCTCTCTGGCAGATATTACTGCTGTTTCCACAGCTTTCTTGTTACCGTGCCAAGCTGTCTCGAGTCACTTAGACGGTCGCCTAACCGTTTTTCTAGTTGTTCCTGAAATATATACCTAGTGTTGCTATTATTAAGTAGAACCCTAAAAGGTTTCCTTGCAGCGTCTTTCCTGCGTCCAGTAAGCCGCAAACAAATACGCGCTCGAACTGGAGCATAAGCTGGATCTAAACATGTACCTCGGAACGAGCGACGGTCTTCTACCGAGCATCCCTATCGGTGGATAATAAGTATGTAATCTAGTTGAGTCCGATGTTTGGACGAATTTGGGGGTTGCCATGTCAAAATATGATTTTAGTTTTGCTTAAAGTTAGTGTTTGCTGGAAATAGGCGATTGTCTGAGCATAGCTGCAGAAGACGGTCGCCATTATCTGTTTTATGAGTCGCACCACTGTAAAGTCCTAGCTGAGAAAGCCTGTTTTCCTATTTGGTATAAGGTTCGAACAAGAAAAGCTCCAATATGTAGTTTAGAGTGTGGATTCAGGGGACCAGGAGTAAGGTTTCGTGTACTCGAATGGTTTGCATTAGCGACTAGAGGTGACAAAGGAACATGAAAGTGTTTGGTGATGTAGGTGAGGGGGTTATTAAAAATTATCGAGGGATTTGATTCTGGCTAGTTTTGTCTCGTGTGTTGTTACGCGAATGAGTGCGGATGTCACTTCTTGGCTGTCCACACCGTGGAAGGGTGTTTCTTGAGGAACCTGTAAAGGAAATTGGGTTGGGGTTGATCTTAGAGACTTGGGAGTGTGACCACAGAGCGGAAGGGACAACTGCTTGAGTCCTGTCACACATGTCGTTTTTATAGGAAGTTTGTCAAGTATTAGCTCCGCTCTTTTTGAGAGACCCTACCTCCGGAGACGGAAATTGTTGGAGTAAGATGAGTTGTGACATTTTTATGGTCGACCTTTTCTAACCTTCTTCTTCCTTGTGAGAAGGCAGCGTTACTGCAGATGCTGGTTGTCCGAGGAGATCACCCTACTGCTGTCACATCCCTCTACCGTCAGCATTCCGACTTCGGTCTCAGACCTTGAGTTCTGCTTTTACTCTCACTGTTCTCCTGTTGACCTGCCTGTCATGGTAGAATCTACAGGAACATATGTTGCAGTCAATGTAGCTTGGTTGAGTCCTCAGGATAGGCAAGTCCAACCACCACCTCAAGTTATCTTCTGTGGTCGTGGTGAATATTGGTAACGTTTTGAAAAAAATAGGCCTTCTTTTGTTGTTTTTTATTTGTCGTTATCACATCTGTCTTGGCTATTTTTAATTGAAAATATAACAAAAAAACAAATTTTGGATTGTTTGCCATTTATATTTGACTTCCCAATGCTTGTTCATTCTCTTTATTGGTAGAGCTCATGTGATTGTTAAGCTGTCACGTAATGCAAAGTTGTTATTTGAATTATATGAGACATGTAAATCTATTTAGAGAGAATTATGGAGGATGTATTTTTTTGTTTTTTTTCGATGATTTACAACAAGAAAGTAGTTGTCATTTGAATGAAACTCATAAACACTGTTTTTTTCTAAAATATATAAACCATCAGGTTTTTAACTGTCATGGGCATTACCATCAAGCTGCTCCAATTATAACTCATTGTTAATATGATTGAGCTAGTTCCCAGTTAACGATGTTTAATTTTTAATTAGCGAGCTTCAAAAGCAAAAAGTTCCATTTCCATTAAGTTTTGTGTGCTTGGTTTTTGATTATGATACTAATTCTGTTTGTTTTTCACTACAGCAAAATGCTTAGACATCCTTGTATCCAGATAAGTTATTTTGCTGCTGGTATTATTGCTCATCTGTCATGTTTAAAAGATGATATATGGTTGCGTAATATTCAGTCAAGTCGTGAAAGCTATGTGAAATTATTGGTAAGGTTGAGTTTTTTCATTATATTTCTAATTGTTTTCTTATATAAGCGGTATTTATTAGTGACAGTCAAAATGTTCTATTCCCATATTAATACAGAAAAAAGGACAGATTTCGAATCGTGTTAATTTATGCACTAAAGTTTTCTGTAAAATTGTGTTCATTTATTTAACTTTGCATACTTGTATACGCACCAATTCAATTTGATGGTTCAATAATTAGCACTCTTGAAAAATGTAGGTTAATGCATTCTCTTGAGCGTATAGGTTAGAAAATAATACACGCGAGTTATAATTAGTCACATTTTTCTGTCCTCAACAACTCTATCTGTATCCATAGAACTTCTCCAATTAATCAGACTAGAACAACGTAGAAGTTACTACGTATGTACGTCGGCTGAAGTTGTCATACCCCATTGGTACAGCGAGATCGAATTGTCGAAACTAACGTCATCACCACCTATAATATTCTGTTATTTACTTTGTACCAAAGATACGATTCAAAAACATATGAATTAGTGAAGTAAAGAAAAAGTTATAGGGAATTTAAAAGTTTAGAATCTGAAGGGAGAAAAATAGTGTATACTTTCGCGTCATTGCAAACAATTTCAAGCCTTATCATTCAACGTTTAACTGCTAGTTACAGTAATCACGCGGAATTCAACAAAGTAGTTTGCACCTTCTAACATAGCTGCGTTCAATCAACAATAACTTCATGAATTAATGCCTTGTTTTGGTTTGGCCACGTCTAGCTACTGAAAGTTCACATGTCTCTATATGAATTTAACTGAATTGTTATAAATCTCCGACATATAGTCATTTTGTTTGTTGCTTAATTTCAATTTATTCCAGGGTCAAGCTGTTTGCAATTGGCAGCCCCCACATTCTGAAATGGTCGCTTATCGTTCCTTTGAACCGTTTGGTCTACTAGTTTTGCATCCAGAAAGTCGTTTAGAGATACACTTGTGGGCTGTTTGGGCTATACATCATATATTAACCAGAAAAGGTTTGTTTTCTTATCCTTTTATATACTTCCATGTTTTTTATTCGTAAAATCAAATTTATCTGACTATCCAATTTAATTTTTTTTAAAGTGATATCTTAGTGGTTTAAACATGCAGCGTCTAATCACTAGATTGTGTGCTCAAACAATTGAATGCTTTCAATTTAGACAACCGAGTGCGAGTAAATAACCTTCACAGACAAATTATTTGGATCAAAAACGAGTAAACCAACTCGTAATCGCTAAATGACTTATCGGGTTCCGCACTACCAGTATTTGGAGATGCTAGATGAGATGATTTAGATGCATTCGCTCCGTCTTTTCTTAGGTCTTGAGTTTTGAAATTATCTCTCTCCCTTTATTCTATGTATTCATCCTCTATTTTTGAATCCTATTGTCTAAGCCTAATCTCTCCCCTTACAGCTGGTACTGTTAGTACTTCTACTACTATGGTATTTGTCTTAATAATTTCATCCTGCCGTCCTAATGTGTGGCCAACCGAGTAAGCAATGCTGTCGTTAGGAAACGAGTGCTAGGCAGGGATGGAAGATCAATTGGTGAAGTATTGAAACTTCATCAGTTGAGGTGGCTGGGTCATGTCTTACGAATGCCCAAACACCGACTACCTGGACGAGTTATGTTTTGTGATGTACGAGTAGGATGGAAGAAAGCTGGGGGCGGCCAAACCAAAACATGGCACAAATCCATGAAGTCACTGACAAGTGGACTGAGTCATATTAGTAGGTGCAGGCTGCTTGGTTGGGGTCCGCGAGATGATGTTAACCGATGGAGACAAAAGTCACTAATGGTTAGAGACCTTGAACGACATGTCTGAAAACCGTTTGCAATGGCGCAGGTGCATTCTTTCTTTGTGTTCTTCCAAGTCCTACTCTTCAGAATTCCTCATCATCTCTATCTTTCTCTTTCTAAAGTTATCTCACTGAACTATACTTTTTGAATAATATCTTTAAATTCTACTCTTCTTCATTACTGCTAATACTTCTACTATCTCTACAACTATTGGATTTGAAGTAACAATTGCGTCTGTCTGCTAATGTTGTATGGGAACCTGAACTGATGTACGTATGTACGAAGTTCTACGTTGTAATTGACTGACTGACTGCTAATATGTGGAAGCTGGAACTGATGACTAAATGTGTCAGATTGTTGGTTTTCGAATCCTTTTAGCTACTCGAATGTATATAGCTTAACGTTTTCATAAATGCAACGCAATGTTTTACCAGATTTCAGTTCAGTCGATTTTACTGATTTATTGTTAATAAAGATACAATAATTTCCTGGTTATGTTAGTTGCTAAATTGTCTAATCATTTGTTGCTTTATGTTTACTACGTTCAAATATCAAATGTTTATTCCATAGTTCTCTCCTAACGATTGCATTTTTCTTTGTATATTTCGTGAATAAGTAAAATAGCAGTTTTGTTTTTATTCTCTTTTTTCTTCTTCTCGTAGAAATGCGTTATGTACCGATCTTATGCGAATGCCAACCGCTGTTATCATTTCTAAGATTAGTCGTTTCTTTTGATGAAGGAGTTCTATGTGCCCATAGTTTACAACGACAATTATCTGATCAAAAACCGTGTAGTATAAATACTCATTTCCATAATAATGACAATGATGATGTTAAAAATAATAACAATTATAGTGTGAAAAATAGTGACCCGATAAAATCTGCATCAACTTCTAGTAATATTATTCGTCCTCAATCATCCAGTGTTTATTCTCCTTCAATAGATTCTGATCTTTATTCAGAAGTATCTGTTTCGTGTGAAACAGCTGCAGGTGATTGTTTTATGTCAGAAAGTCAGCAGGCACAATCTTCAAGACATTCATCGACAGTTGGGCATGTTGAACCTGTAGGACAGAGTGCAGAAGGTGTTTCAGCATTTGTAGGACCTGATGAATCTCAACTTGCTTGTGCTCGACTTATTCGTAAAATGGCTTCAGAAATACTTGCATCCGTCGATCGAACTTTACCAACACTACAGTCTACTTCTACTCATACTCATAACAATAACAGACATTGCGATCCGCCTGAATCGCATTGTTAGGAAAAAATGTATCATTTAGCGCTGGCGACCGACTGGTGTCATTTTTACTTCTTATATTGAAATCAATATCAAAGTCGGTTTGATTACTATTACAACATCTGTGATTATTTCGGCGAATTCAGTAAATTATGTAACTAATCCATTGATCTATTCTTGTATTTTTACACACACCTCCACTGTCTTTCATGTAACTATATTGACTCTGTTTATTTGCTACTGGGAAATCGAACATTTATCATTCATTCAGTATAATTACGCATTATTCTAATCATTATTACAAATTCATACCAATAACTGATAGTCACTCTTAGTTACTTTCATACAGTTTGTCCTATTGATAAATTTAATAGAGCAAGAACAATTCAAACGTGACACAACAAAGTGAATTCATTGTATTTCGAAGTTTCCCATCAATTGCGTACAATCTTAACATATGAATAGTACTAGTTAGTACAGTCAATGTTCATACTTTATATCAGAAATGTAGTCATCTCTACGGATTACGATAATGTATTCAAATTAAACTAAATTAATCTTTCATTTGTAAACAATATTGTCATATATGTTAGCTTGACGAAGTAAGTGTGGCAACAGTGTCTTTTCTAATGCATAAATCTGTTCTTTTAACTTCCTTAGTCTTATCTGAGCTTCATTTTTAAATTTTTAATCTTATAATCTGTTTTTTTTCTCTGCTATTATTATGTAACTTGAATATCATTCGCTTCCCTGGGATTTTCCTATCATATATATCATATAATTATGTTATCATTTGAAAACCTTTTATCATTCTTTTACATTATCGTTTCTTGAACCTTATCGATGAGACTACATTTCTGATATGATGATGATATAAAGTATGTACACTGATTTTACTAACTAATACCTTCGAAATAAAATGAATTCATCTTGTTCTGTCACGTTTGAATAGTTGTCGCTCTATTTATCTTCTTAGTTAAACTTGTGTCGTTACCAATTTTATCGACAACAATAATAATAATGGTAATACTAACAATAAAATAGTACCTATACACACAGGTTTTTATATTTAATCAAAAATGAATTTTCATTTTACATCATGAGAGAAATTGTGCTATGTTATTCCTATTTACTTATTATACATATATTGAATTGTATTTGTATATTTTTGGTTGTAATAATTGTAAGATGATGATTATTCTTGTTACAATTCTTGTCAATTTTGTTGTTGTTTCTCTTTCTCTGATATTCTCTTATATTCTTAACTTTAATTTCATTCTTGTAATTATTGAAGTTGCATTTAAAGATAATTTATTTTGAATTTCTGTTTGTTTTTCATTGATGAACTGATTCGTCGAATAGAATGTATGAATAATCTTGGTGTATTTATTAATTGACCTATTCACATAAGATAATATGTGTAATAGTATATAATTAATCGTAAATATGTGTGTGTACACTTTTGCATGTACTCTAGATATTTGCACTCTCGTCGATCTTGTTTTCTTTCTGTCTTTGTGTATACATGTGTATCTGGTATCATGTGACTGTTTTTTCTTCAGTTTAGATGCAGTCTCATCATAGATTTTATTTTTTGTGTTTGACTACTCCCTAATCAATTTTTGTTTGCCACTTAATCAAAAAAACTCCCTTGCGTCCTATATTATTATATTTGACTGTTTAAGCTTCTCTTATTTCTGATGGCTATTGGATATGGTTTACCGAATGCGATAAGCTGTTCTATTTTCATAGAAAGCGAGCGCTACGATTATTTGTGGTATGTTTTTACGGTCGACATAGATCTATTGTACATTTTCAATCATCTATGGGTTTGATATCCGTATCGTTGATACAATGGATGTAATTGTGAGAAGATTAATATTATTCGGTAAAAGTTATTCATATCCCGAAACTGGTGTCGTTCTCCATTTCACCCAATATTATTCTAATATTTCTAGTGATTACTGGTCATCTACCTGTTGCTAATTGGCTTCGACTACTGTATTGATGAAATGCAACAAATAATTGCGAGATCCTTATTTTGTTATCAGAACTAGAAGATAATAGTGTGATATTCTTCGTACTGAGCTTAAATCCTAAGTAATGTTCATTTTGAGGAAAGATATCTTTGAGCTATTTCTTTTCTCTACCATAAACTAATTAATCCTTGCAACCATAATCGATGTTCTTAACAAAATTCTTTGTTAAATGGATACATACTTGCCAAAAAGAATCGATGATTATCAGATATAATCAATATTGGAAGTTCGTTTTGCGCAAGGTTATCAGTCACAGAGTATACGTACTTCGCGTCGCTTGTATTATAAATTCAATGTAATTTTATATTCTTTATAGTTGAATAAAATCAATTCATTTTCCAAGTTAAACCCCTTTATATAATGTGTCATATTAATTTTTATATATTTTGTAAACCGTTTGCATGTTGTGAATAAATTTCAGTAATATATTCATATAAATTAAAGTGTTTTTCTCTTCTCATCATTTGTTCATAATAATGATAGTGGCTTTATTCAATATTATATGTTCAGTGCAATAAGGAATACTCAGCACGGAATATTTCAACAGGTTTCCTTTATAAAACAATTGGTGATTGGCAGTTGGAAGTAAGCAGTTCAGCAATCGACATCTTATTAACATTCATTATTTTCTCAGCAGATTACCAGCCACCGAGATGTCTCGGATTGTACTTTTTCATATCTTGCGAAGCGATAGCTCTTAGACATTTTATATACGCCCCTGAATAGGTTATGCGATTAATCGACATAATTGACGTGTTAAAACAAACAAAAAGAGGTAACTTGTTGAAATATTTTGATGTTGAGAAATTGGTAGCCCAGATATTCAAGCAGGTCGCGAAATATATATCATGTATTTGTCTGAAATCTAGTGATATTTGGTTTCAAGAGATCACTTATATTCCAACTTTAAAATAGGTTGTCTATCATAAGTACTAATCGAATACATTGAAATTGACCACTGAATTCTTTATTGTGTAGATTCTTATCAAAAGTTTTGTTACCCTAGAAAACTGCCTATAGATTGTAGTGCTAATCTGTAATGTATTTTCAATCATTCTAGCACTTATTTCTGTTTATTTGGATTGTAGTAATATCTGCTGGTTGAATAACGTAAACTACGTGTCATTGTTTAAAATATACACATTGAGCAATATAGAACTTTTCATAATGATGTACTGATTATGGTTGTGTTGGTTTGTAAAATTACGTAGCATGAAAATGACTACAATGAACTATTGCATAATGGAGAGGACAAATAAATCTATGGTAGTATTTTGAGAAAGGAAAATAATACGAGAAGTGAATAAGATGAGCAGCAAAATATTCAAAAGCATCAGGAATTAAAGTGCATCCACCCAGCAACCCTCATTATACAGAGGTGTAGATTTCCGGTCTTGATTCAGCTTGGAAATCTAAACTTGATTGTCTGCTATCATTAATTGGTTTGGTCACCTTTGATCTATGTCGATTGGGTAGCAGATTCACGAAGTGTCTAAAATACTGTCTTGATGGTTTTATGGGACGATATGTTTTGGACTGTATCAGTTAACATTAACGGGTGTAACTTATAACCTGTTATATGAATCCATGCATCGTCAATAATTTACGCTTATCTGTTAATATAGAGTAACAAAACGATAAGAATTAAGGGTACTCAATAAAAAAATTTTTAATACGATTTCTTGTTTCGAACAATCGGTAGGACAAAAAATATTTCAACATAGCTTATAAATTCCTGACCAATACACAGAAGTATTAACGCTGAAGTTTTTATATGATTAAAATCAATTTTTTCAATGTTCATTGTCCGATTTTTTACTATACTTTTCCGAACATTTAACAATGTGTTAAAATAATTTGTATCTAGATTGTTGGAATAATTAAAACTTTCACTTTATGTAAATAAAATACCATACTGAAATCAGACAATCAATTGATCAAAATTGCAATTCGTAAGTGGATCAATATTATAGACTATGCAGTTGAAGTATTTCATCTGGTGAATGTGTAACTTTACTTAGAATTGCTCCTAATTTATCTTTATTCTTGTCATTATTGCTGCTACCATTCACTATAACGCGAAACTAACGATTGTGTAGTGTTGCTGATAGTTAACTTAATTATTTATTCATTAAATTTGACAACTAGCATAATCATTTACTAATTAATAAGAGTGACTGTAATACCCGTTGACTCAGAAGGAAAAAATTAGTGATGACAGAATGACGAAACGACACGAACCTACGAAGTATTATTTCACATTGCCTAGATCGGCAGATTTATTCATGTTGAGGTTTGTGTAATCCTTATTTCTGGTCAGAAATATCCTATGAAATTATCCACAATCAGTTACAATATCACTTGTTACATTCTTTATCGTTCTGTAAATTCTGAGCTTATATTTTTTTCCATACTTCTTATCTTTCATTTTTGTCTGTTCATTTAAACAGTATTTCTTATATTGACTCTGCTACTGTAACTGATATTATTTTGCTTACATTTTGCTAACATCCTCCTTGAGTTGTTCTAACGTTAGATTCGGCTTGGATCGATACATACTTGCATTTGATTTCACATTCTTTATGTTACCGACTACATGATTAAGAACATATCTTTCATTTATATTATGTAAATAAAAGTCTAGGTATTCAGATAGGTGTAAATTTATTTGTTTAAGTGATTTTGTTGAAATTCGTGGTATAATTTGAAAGAAGATAATTCTCGCTGTAAACTGACATGAGTTGGAGAATTACCAGTACTACAACTGAACAACCACTAGTACAGTTTGATGCAAGAAAGATAAAGAAAATAAATATGGGCTTATTTGACACAAATTGTGGGTTAAAATATATGTCTGAATACACTGAGTTCTATACATATTGATCAGTAGCCAAATTTGAATGAATTAAACTGCGTAATACCATACATTATTTGGTTCACAACTTAGTTTATGAACATATGGTACAGTATTATAATGTCAAACTGTAACCACTAACACATTTAACTGAATCATTAACTTCTAACAATTGAATATTATAGAACAATACATAGTTTAGAATAGCTGGATTTTGGCTAGCAATGGAATTCAGGATGCACGTTTCGTCCTCTTCGGAACTTACCAAATATAGGATAATTCAAAAAATACATAGCTGTTTGAGATTGATTGTTATTCAAGACGACTAAATGTTGATTGTATGTTATTTTGGATGATTACTTAGAGTTTATCTCATTCATATCATACTCTTATACTAATGTTGTGTAATTATTCTTTTCAAACTAACATAATAATTTTAGGCAACCAAAATTATCAACTCTCTCCGTACTGGGCACATGAAAAATGCACAAAAATTTGCCTACTTCATGGTTTTGGATTTTGAAGCAACTTGTGAACGGGATAGAAAGCTTCCAGTTCCTGTATGACAAAGATTTTTTTTCGTCATTGTTAATTTTTATGTTTTTCTCAAAACTTTTCATTGTATTGAGTCGTACATTTGAACAATCCTGTGTGTTATTAGTTGAGTTTACGTGCATTAATTTACGAAATCGATTTTAGCTTTTTACCTTTTAGGTTTTATGCACCTTATTTATTGTCATATACATATTAAATGTAACCTACAACTTGAAACGAATCGATCTTGCAATAAACTTATTATATATATATGTGCATACTTGTGCGTCTATATTTTAGATGTTTTTCAAAACAAACAGACAAAATTAATGCAAACTTAATCTAAATGAATTACCTTTTTTGTTTTACAGTTCTATAGTTCTTTTTTTCTAAAGAGATTTTTATACAATTAACTGTCATAGCTAATATATAACAGATAACCACGTGTCTAAGATGTAAAGTACACTTAAGTTTTTTTACTAAATATCAGATCATTTTATGTTTCCAATCTTTACGAGATTTTGTTTATTTTTGTAAATTATAATTTTGGACAACAACTTTCTTGGTTGTGTATGTCCTGCCCTAGAAGCGTACTTTGCAATAAATCCCCCAAAATCACTATAACAGAATTCAACTTAGAATGTCTTATCATTGTCTATCCCTAATACATCGTTTGCTAAGCTTGATGACATGATATTAGGAAATACCAAAATAGAGGGAATTCGATGAAATCGTACACTCAAGCTGTACATTTGTATTCATTGTTGTTTGATAAATATATACCTCTATAGAAAGAGAAATTGCATCGTAAATTGTATTCTCAATCTGGCCTACCATTAATGGATGTGTTACGGATAAGCCTCTGCTTTGGACCACATCGATGTATATCTATATGTTTACTCGCTCGTGTGGGTTAGGTTATGTTGACCTCACAAAGTGATTACTTTCTAAATGCATATCAGAATATTACCTAGCATGGCTTTTAATAGGGGAATGCAAAGCCATCACTAGCTCAATACAAGAGCATCTGATCATCTCTGGACACGTTGCTCCTAAGGAGTTTTCCTTTGAAGTGATATACACAGTCAAAAGAATAGGATCAGACGGTATTCAAATCAATCGGCAGTCTACTTATTCAAGACCGAACTCCATGTGCAGAAGTGATATGTTTGACCTCTCATCCTTTCTTGGTCATAGTCTTCTTCTCCAGTATGTATTTTTTAAAAATTCTTTTTATTGTTAAACCATAATTATTTATTATTATTATTATTATTGTCTATCAATTTTTATGATTATTCAGTTGTTATTATGACCTTAGCGTTTTTAATTTTTGTCATATCTGTCGTATGGACAATTATTTCTCATTTATCTGATCTTTAGATAATTCTCATCCCCCATTCTTTAACCCCAGTATTATTACGTAACTTCCTCTTGATTTTTGAAATCTCGGATCATTTTATGATGCAATCTCTCTACATATTCTTTCTATAGAATTGCATATTTATCAAACAACTATGAATGCGAACATAGACCTTAAGTAAATAATTTCGTTGAAAAGAAAATTTTTCTGTCTGAATTCTTTCTATTTGTATCTAATGTCAATGGGTTATTTTAAATGGCTAAAAGTCTAATTAGATGTCATTATAGGGTTGTGGAGATTTTTGAGTTTCACTGAAATCATAGATCGATCAATGTTAAGCCACCAATATGAACCTGGAAGCACTTCCTGACCGTTTCATCATAGTATGGGACTCGTCAACAGTGCTCATCGACGACCCCGAAAGCAGGAATCAAACTCAGGACCTTCGGTCTGGAGTTTAAGCGTTCACACGTGAGACCGAATGTATGTCAACGCGAATTTATGTACGTACGTACTAAGTTCTGTGTTGTTAATAACTGGCTGATATGATAGGTAAAACTAGGTCTTACAGTGAAACCTCCCAATCTGCTGCTTAGTGAGTGACCTAAGAAACCAATCCTCTTTAGTCTCCATTTTAGAATCGTGCTCATTTTTTTCAATAGCTTTCATATTTTACTATCTGGTAGGCCTATTCTGACTAGCAGTCTTCTTGTTCATAGTGTAGGTTCAACCAGAAGTTTAAGTCAACGATTTGGTCCCATGAGCGGTTATCGCTTGGCTATATTTTTCTATTTAATCTGTTGATCAGCTCATTTTGTTCATTCATTTCAACACATTAATCAAACGCATCCTGCTTCAGTCAGTGTTTGTCTCGCTTCCGAATCATCACGATTCATCGTCTTTCATACTCTCTATATTGTGTCAAATTTTTGTTCAAACAAATGAGTATTATTTTAACCAAACAAATTGTATGAACCATACAAGTTATATGAATACCGATGCCTCTAACTAGATGATTGAAACCACAATGGGACTTCTTTTGAACTTATGATTCTGCGATTCATATTCCAACTTTTCGACTATTGATCAACACTTTTACTAATATCACTTGGTTTGTAATTAACTTGACTTTTTCGATATTATAATTTCTCAATTTTGGTGCAACGTTTTTTGTTCATCAATTAAGCATTTGATATCCAACATGAGATATGCAAAGATTCTGGTACAATATTTCAATGATTATTTTTTTCTACTTTGAGATTATTTTGATTTCATCTTAACTTTCATAATTGAAGAAATGCTTTTTCTTCATATCTTCAGGAAATTATCGAATTCCCAGTTCTCATGGTAAACGCTTCTACACTTCAAACTGAAGCTATTTTCCATCACTATGTTCGTCCCACTATTAATCCAGTATTAAGTGATTTTTGTACAGAGGTAAGTAAGGCTTGAAAAACTTGTTTTTATACTAACTAATTTCAAGGTGCAAAGGAGCATAGTGCAAATCTATCATTCGTATAAAATACTGGCCAATAAGTTATCTTTAATGACTTGTGCAATTTAAAAAAGCATTTGATTAATAATATGGTTTCTCTGGTGTCGGTCTTCTTTTTTAAAGTCCTGCTATAGACCAGTAACGACACTTAAAAAATGTAGCAATTCTAAAAGCCTAATAGTTGATAGTTTAGTTATCATTTGACAATAAGCGGTTGATATTAGTAGCACTTCATTTACAGGTAAATGAATAGTTTAAGAATCGTCTTAAACTTGAAAATCCTCACCACTTTCAAACGACACTCGGTTTCACATCCACCTCATGCTACTTGTAAGTCACGTGACCAGTATGCGCCACTGCACAAGTCAGTGTGTATTTTGACAGCCTTGCATTCTTCCTGATATAGCCATATAGAAGAACATGTGTGTCCATAATGTTAACTGATATAAAAATTTCACTCCATATTAGTCACTTTCCTCCACTTTCGCTCTCTATGACTTTCGGAAAATTTTCATAAGGGCTATATGTCAAGTCTTTTATTGGAAGAATAATATATATTTGTTGTCGATTTGCCATCGATTCACATATCTTTTGATAAATAAAATAAATAGTTTTAGCATGACTCCTGTAATACAAATGTAAAACTTAGGTAAATATTTTCGTCAAAAAGAAAATTTCCTTCGCTGAATTCTATTTATTTTTTCGCATTAATACAACGGGCTACTTTAAATATAAGAATTATTCTTAAAATATTTATCTTATTCATAGCAATTTATAAAAATTCTATAGGTCAATAATTCTACTAAAAATTAGTTCACAAACTGTTTACTATGTGTAACTAATGACTTTGAGCTTAGTGAAATTCACTTATAAGGTGATTGTTTTAAAAGATCGATAATTACTCCAAAATTAAGTTGTAACTTCAGTGTACAATTTTGTTATAGTCAGATATCTAGACAATTTAACGTTAACTAACATACTACATGAAAATCATTGGAGTTATACATTAATCAAATATGTTCATTCTGTATGATAGGATTGATTAGGAATTGATTTTTTACATTCCTAAGATTCTTTAGTTTAGCTGATGTTTTTAAAATATTTTCGATTTTTGCTATTGCTAAATTTTGAATCTCAATAATGTTTGATTTATTACAATTAATAATATCTTAAGAAAATTTACTTTGGTCAAGGAAGATTAATAAGGTGAAAACGCGTATGAGAAACGTTCGTATTGATTAGAGGAAGAAAGGCAATCATTTATGAGGAAACAAGTAGACTATAGAAAACTTTTAATATCATAGCTGAAGGTTAATTCTAACGATACGTATGTACTCATTCTTTATTGTTTTTTGGTAACTATTATATACTTTTAAACATTGGATATAACTGTCACGATAGGGTTTTTCTCTATGTCAAACACTAATTGTAATTAGCTATCAGGGATTAGATTTTATATATTCCTATGTATTATCAGTAAAGCTATGGTATATTCGAAATATCATCGTTTCGAAATTTCACTTTACAGCTGACTGGTATCATACAATCCATGATAGAAGACCAACCGGATTTATCGACTGTACTTAAAGTAAGCAGACAGCTATGAATACATATATATATATATATATATATATATATATATATATATATTACTTGTCGCTGACTAAATGTTGCCGTTACTTTATTACATTTTGATCGAGTGGATAACGTATTTTATGTTGCTTGAAACCTAACATTTCAAATTTAAAACCTGTTTTGCAAGAAACATAAACTGAGGGAAATGAGTATATTTCAGACAAAAGCACACAAATAAACGGTTGTAAAGATGGTTTATAACATCTAATTACAAGCAGTCACACACAATCAGTCTGAAGTAGAAGTCATTAACAGGAAATGACACCACATACTTGATAGTCAGTAGGTTCCGCCTGTTTGTCCACGATTGATGACCAGTCGCATTCTTCTCTCACTGCTGCACATGAAAAAACCATCCCCATATCTATTCTATTTTTCTGTTTTATTCCTTAAACTATTCACTTTTTATCTTCAAAATGTAATTATGTAGTAGGCTACCTTTTTATCTTGTCGAAAAATAAAATAAAATTCACTGCGTCTTCGTTAATGTAATGATAATTTTCGTAGTCCATCAGTATTTCACTCTTATTCATATATCTGTGAATACTTTTGAAATTTACATCATAGACTGCTCACAGTTGGACAACCAATAAATACTAGGAAGCACTAGATAGCTGGGTTTTCCCAGAATTATATCTGAACGAAGATTGAATGTTAACTCCTAGAACTTATTTATAGATTGTTGTTGTTGTTATTATATATACTTTTACTATATAATTATGAAGATACTTGATTAGTATGTCTGTGTATACTGTTTACCATATGCCATTGATTAACCCGATAAACTTAGTCAGTCATTCAGTTGCAACATAGAACGTTGTACGTAAGTACATAAGTTCAGGTTGCCATACCTCATTAGCACATAGACGCAACTGTCAGTTCAAATCCAATAGTGGTGGAGATAGAAGAAGTATTAACAGTAATACAGAAGAGTAGGGTTTGAAGATATGATTCGTGGAGTATAATTCAGTGAGATAAATTTAGAAAGAGGAAGATAGAGATGATGAGGAATTCAGAAGGTTAAAGTTTGAGCGATTTCGAGCCATGTCGTTCAAGTTCTCTAACCATTGGTAACATACGTCTCGCGGACCCCAACCAATCAGCCTACATCTACCAACATCACTCATTCCAACTGTCAGTGACTCTATGGACTTGTGTCATCGAGTAGCTGCTTTTAGTCTCATCGTTCTACAATCGACTTGCTTAGTGTGGTAGAACCTCCAGGAATATTTGTTCCAACCAATATAGCTTGGTTAGGTCATCAGGATAGGCAAGTCCGACCACCACGTCAAGGTAGCACCTACGGTCGGGAACCCAGTAAACTAGTGTCCTACGAAACGTTGTCCTATTTCGTTGCTAGTGTATTATTTACAGTCTCCACTATTCACAGCCACTTTTTCTCCTGTTCGTGAATAATTGTTATCTTTTATTTCCGGGTGTGATGCGGTCGAGCATGTCTGCACATAAATCACATCTGTTTGAAATAGATAGTAGAGGATGGTTGCTTGGTTCGGGGAAGACTTCGCAAACAACGGTCTAATAAAAGATTAGACTCAAGGCCAATAGTGTTGGAGACATGACTAGTCAGTCTGAGTACACCAGGCTGTCAACGAAATAGTAGACTAGAAATAGGACAACTAAGAATCAGCATTCTGATTGAGGTGGCATTGGTCAGCGGTTTCAAGAAGAAACAGTATGAAACTCAGTGATACTAGCGGACCACTCCACAGTCGATCGAATCATGAACTCTGAGGAATCTCAACTAATGCTTGTTCTTCAAACCATTGACTCATCCAGTGGTTAACAGTCGATTCGCAACACTTCCCACTGCTGTTGGTAATATTGTGACTGTATACCCAAGTCCAGTTCATGATAAAATCTATGAAATTCGACAATCTCCGCGAAGTCTGACAATATGGTTACTCGGTTAATCATTTTTTTTTCCTTTCAGATGTTTGATTCCTTTTTAGATGTGAATCATTTAAAGATCAATCCGTATCAATTTGCTTTTGTTACATGTGGTGACTGGGATTTAAAAACAATGTAAGTGGTATGACGTTTTTTTGTAAATCATCATAGGACATTTCTGTGTATTTTTAAATGTATTATTCCTAATTAAGAAATTCTACCATATGATAACAAACAACTAAGTACAAAACTAAGGAAGTTACTTATGTCTATTTATTATATCAAAGTTTTGGTAAATCTTAAGCATCATTCTCTTTGAATTCATGAAATATTAAGGGCTGTTATACAAACAATACACTAAACAAAATGGCTCTTTCCAAATGGATCATCTTCTTCAGCGAGTTCTATGAAGACTACCAAGGACGGTAAAAGGACTTCTAACTAATTAATTGAATTTGCAAAAACTTGTGTACATTAGCCTAGTTAAACGCTTGATTTTTAGGAATAACATGAAATGACAGTGGAAACGAAAAGTGTAACTCATCTCATTTGACTCATGTTATCCTAATTGCTAAAATCAGCATCTGCAAATGATTGGATAAATTTGATTTGATTGTTATACATTCTTCAAAAATTTTGGTTTCAATTATTACGACTGCTATTGCTCTGAAGAAGTTTAAACAGGATTGCTGGACGAAACATTGTGATTATCTCAAGTTTTAATCCCTGAGATTATTTCAAATATAATTCTTACAAATAATCTCTTCTACATCATACACTTGGTGCCCAATTTTTGTCATACATTGGTTCAAATGTTCATATAAATCCTGTCAGATCAGGGAAATTTACTTATCAATACTTTTACCAGTAACTTTTAATGGATGATAATAAAGGGGATACATTAACGGTTGATTAAGTTAATTGAATAGTGAGTGATATGAAATATTCTAAATACAATCAATCTAACAACCAACCAATCAGCTTCGTATATGATTTACATTCGTTACTAAATACAATTAATTAATTTAAAATATTTACTGTAGTAATTTATATAACTCATTTTTTAATTGAATGTCTATAGGTACGTGCAATTCAGTTATGTTTAAACTAGCTGAGAGCTAATATTATTTATTTTTCAGTCCTTTAAATATTAATTTTGCTGTTCTACATTTAAAAATAACTACAGAAATTATATTGTTATTTGACGTTTTCAGTTGATTATATTCACAATTTTTATGTTTTACAATGTATTAATTCACTATCAAACAGGAAGTTCAGTAGTGTAAAGTTACCAAAGTGAAATAAACCATTGGAGTAACAGAAAATTTAGATGTTTATAGGTATTGCATGAGAAAACGAAAATACTCATTCAATGTTCCTTAGTAAAGCCAGTATGTAGAACGACTAAACAGATTGTTATTTAAAAGTCAGAAAGCAGATAACAGTTAATTGTTTCAACGTTTTTGGAATCTTATCATTAATTTGAGTATATTTACCAGTTGCAACTTCACAGGAAGTGGACATTGCATTAAGGTGGAGAATCCTTAACCATATTAATAACTTTGATGTTGTCATCTAGAAAGGAATGATAAAGGGTGACAGTAGGCAGCCTTGTCTGAAATTGGCCTTGCTGTTAACTTGTGTATTTTAAGGCCATTCTGCTGCAGACGTCAATGCTACACTAATTGTCTTCTCCTGCAATTTTTGTTTTGTGTGGGATAGAAGAGTTAGATCATCTGCGAAGTTCGGATCGTCTATCTGTATCGAAGCTGTCCACTGTAGACCCTCCTTCCCATGAAATGTTGAGGTCTTCATAATCCAGTCAATCACCAGAGGAAAGAGAAAGGGTGAGAGTAAGCAGTCTTGTCTGAAACATGTCTTCATTCGGAATGAGTATCTGAACTGCCCTACATGCACGATTTCGCAGTTAATGCCATCGCAAGAATTTCGTATGAAATTGACTATATTCGCAGGTACACCGTAGTGTCAAAAAAGTCTCATCCTTTTCACGCCGTCAAATGTTTCCTCTTAGTTAAGGAAGTTGATGTAAAGTGGTGAGTTCCATTCAATTGATTGTTCCACAGTGATCCTTGGTGTCGCAATTCGATCGATGTTTACGGATTCCGACCTGTTGATCTCTGAGTTGTGCATCTGATGTTACTGTATGATGTTTAGTCCTTCTGCTTTATCACTCTTGATTAATCTGACAACCATGCTGATATCTTCAATTCTTGTAGTGTCAACATCATTTGAGAAGTCCGTAAATGCTGCTTAGCTGTTGAGTGAATTCAGTGGGATTGACCTATTCAGGAGTTCTTCAAAGTCCTCTACTCACCTGTTCCGCTGTTCTTAAATGTCAGCGATTGCTCTGTCTTCCTTGTTCTTCACTGATCACTCTGGTTTCTTGTGTTTTCTAGTGGGCTGTCTTCGTTGTGTCGTATAGTCGCCTCGTGTTCCCCTCTCTTGCAGCTTTTTCCACTGTCACTGCTAGATCTTCCATATATTCCTATTTATCATTTCTGATGCTCCTCTTCAATGTCTTGTTTGCCTTTGTGTATTTGGACTGTGTATTGGCCTCTCTTCACTTGTTTGGCTGTTATTGATTACTGTCTTCTTGTGCTCCGTTTCTTGGATCTCTTATCCAGAGTATCGGCAGAGATCAATTTCTTATGATAGTGCTTCTTGTGGCCCATAACCTGATGACATGTTGAAGTTACTGCTTCTTTGATCCCCTTACAGGTGTTCTCCATGGTAGTTTCCCCCTTCCTTAAGTGGATCGTGAAAGGCTTGGAGTTTGTTGCCGAAAACCATCTTGAGTTCGTTGAGTTTGTCAGTATCTGGAAGAAAGGCTATATCAACCGTTTTTGATACTGTTTTTCCAGTTTTCCGGTGCTTCTTAAACTTCCTTTGTTTCTTCGTCACCACTACATGGTAATCTGAAGGAATATCAGCTCCTCGCTTTGATCTTATGTCTCCCATTGTCCGTTTGAACGTTTTTTTGATGTGATCGATGCAGTTGTGTGTGATGAAAGCCATGTAGCTTCGTGTGTTTGTGTGGGAATACGGTGCCACCCATAACCATCATGTTGAAGTCACAGATTTGCGAATCTATCAGCATTTTCGTTCGTTTCTCCCAGTCCATGTCATCCTACGATGTCTTCGTCCAATCCAAACTTGGCCTTTTGGTCTCCCATTAGAATGGCCGACTTGTTTTCTGTGCATTTCTCTACTACAGGATGGAACGTCTCATCAAATCGATCTTTATCGTATTCATTGTTATTATTGTTTTGCTCATAGCACTGGATAACATTCGTTGTGATGCCCTGTTTCTTCGTGTTGAAGTATGATTTCATGATCCCGGGTCTATGAGATTCCCATTCTATCAGTGATTTATGTGCTTGTTTGGACAGCATCAGTATGTTTCCCTATGTCTTTGTATGGTGTTTTCTCCTTCATGATCGGAGTACAACAGCATCTCTCGCGAAGTTAATTTTTTGTCCAGTCTGAATCAAATGTGTTTCACTTATTCCCAGAACCACCATGTTGTATCTTTTGATTTCCGCTGTATCTTGGATGGTTCTTCTGATCTCTCACATTGTGCGAACTTTTCATGTACACATATTAATGGTGACTCTGGTTGTGAGAAGAGGCATCGGTTTCGTGACTTCCGAAGAGACTTGGCTGTCATTATGAAGCGTGATAACCCTTCGAAACGAATACCTTTCAAGTGTTGAAGTAGAGTGTAAATAGCTCAAATTAATTTTTGTGGTTAGCACTTTTGTTGGCAAGTTTGTTTTTAGCGGTATCTTATTGATGACCTCTTCATCTGTGCTTTGGATTTTCCTTACTATTTTCATTTTGGTTAAATTGTTTATTGGAACATAATTAACCGATGTCCAGTTGTTTATTCGTGTTATGTTGACACAATGAATATCTTTCTCATAAATTAACAATTTCTTTTAAACTGATACATTTATGTAGGTCTCTTTTTGTAATAAGAGAATCAGTCTTATCTTTAAAATTTGTGACTTTGTCATAATATCTGTTTTTGATGTTAATTTTAAGTTCTCCAATTACATCGGTAAACTGTTTTTAATGGCGAACTGGATCGATGCGTTTTTAAACGCCAAATCTCACCTTGTTTATGAATATATATATATATATCACTAAATTGTCATATTGGTTCATTAATTATTCAACATTTTCCATCGTTCAATACATTAATTTAAGCAAATCTGTACAATTTTACTAGCGACTAATTGTAAAAAAAATATCATAACGTTAAGAGTTAAGAAATTCTAGTCAGAAGATAGAACACAACACAGTTATCATTACGGTGATAAAATTTGATTTGAAAAGAAAAATCGATTCATAGCAATAATGCACTGCTTTTTATTTTAAATGATGGTAATATTGATTCATTGTGTATATTAGTATATTAAATGCATTTTAATTTTGTCAACCTTCACTACTCAATCAGCTCGCATATATACTGATTAAGAATTTAAAACAAGTATTTTTCATTTCATAGATGATATTTTTGATATCACTTTTTATATCTAGTTAATATTGTGGTTCTGCTTCAAAACTGACATGTATTCTTGTAGGCTTTTTTCCAATATAAGGGATAATAGTTGAAAAGTTATTCGTTTGTTTTCCGATTTTTCTAATCACTGTGCGGTATCCAGGCATTTTCGAGCATTCTTCCATTCGTTTAATAATTGGCCAGTGTTGCACATAAGAATGTAGTTTTAATGTAAAATGTCATTCTTTACATCTGAAGTCATCCATGTTGTCTGTGTGTTATAAACAAGTTCACATTGTTAAGCATCTCATCATGCTTGGTGAGAAATGCAAAAATAATGCAATAATAATGATTACACTTGAGTTTCCAATGTAAATTATAGTTATATACAGCATTTATCCACTAAATGAAGGAAAGAAAACACGAAAATACAGGATACCTTGTACTTTTTAGACACTAAAAAGGATGTCAGGATAACTTCAACCAGAAAAATTTTAAAATTACCAGCTAATAAGTGACCTTGGTATTAAATTATTCAATCTAATTGACCAATAAAATGCTGATAGCATACCGTATACTGCATTTGTTTTATTATAGTATACAGATACAAATTAGTTTTTGTTTAATCTAGTTCTTTTTTTTTACAATAAAACTGAAGTCTTTCAATCAAAATTTCAAATTTCCGATATGAAACTCTCTAAGATTATCATGTTGACTATGTTTCTCTTACTGCCGTGTAATTGTTGACTGGTATCAAGAGAATAGCTTATTTACAAACGAACGCACGCTGGTGACTTTTTAGTGGTTATCAGCGTAGCAGTTTATTGACTGAGCTGTTAGATGTTACTTTTAACCAGTTCTTAGTTACTGGTTGTTAGGTTTAATTAATATGTCAAAAAATGGAATACACAGTTGCTGTAAAGATTGAATGAGAAAAAAAAAGTATTTTGATGAATTCCTCTATTTTACTTTTACTTAGCGATCCAATAATCTTTAACTCTCTCGTTATTATCATGGACTTTAATTAATGATTTAACAAGAGTTGAATACTCTTAGATTGAACAATACTAGTTTAACAAATTTTCAAAATTGTAATGCTTTACTTTTAACCTAATTCATACCGATGAGATAGTTGGTTGATAAGATGTTGAAGAATAAAGAGCCTAACTCAACATTATAAATAAATTTTTATTTACAATCAAGTGACATCTGTTTCATTCGGAAACTTATTGAAGCTAAAACATTTCAATGGTAAGATTATTGAGATCCAAATCAGTAGAAGTGCTAGCAAAGTGTTCTAAGTTAAAAATGATGTTCTTGTGCTTCAGTATTCAACTATAATTTTTAGTTTTATTCTTATGTATCGAAGGAGTGTCAAAATTAATAGGCTTAATCGAACACTGAATAAAAAAATAAGTTACCACATCTAGAATTTGAGATGTGTGTATTATTTCATGAGCACTGTGAGACAAGTACGTAAGTGATTCATAGAGGCATGCACTTTGCTTTAGTATCAACTATCTAACAGCATTGATCAGTTACAAGCTATTTAAGATGCAGCAGATATTCAGCCTTTAATGTTCTGTTCGATACTGTTTGCTAAATGCTATTTGGGTTGTTCCCCTATCTATTTGAATAATGTAAAGTCAGATAATTCATGTGACAGATGAGTCATTCTAGTCTTATTAGTTATTTTAATGCATCTTCATGCACTTGTCCTTGCTAATTTATTTGACCTAATTGTAGTCATTTTTGTACAATTACCCATGGATGGCAGATCAATAGATGAAGTGGTGATACTTCATCAGTTGAGGTGGTTGGGACATGTGTTACGTATGCCTAACCACCGACTGCCTCGACGATCTATGTTTTGTGGTGTAGGAGTAGGTTGGAAGAAAGTTAGGGGCGGCCAGACCGAAACATGGCACAAATCCATGAAGTCACTGACAAGTGGACTGAGTCATGTTGGTAGATGTAGACTAACTGGTTGGGGTCCGCGAGACGAAAGTCATCAATGTTTAGCGACCTTGAACGACATGGCTCAAAATCGTTTGCAATGGCGTAAGTGCATCCATTTGTTGTGCTCTCTCAAATCCTAATCTTCTGGAATCGTCAGCACCTCGACCTTTGTCTTTCTAACCTTATCTCACTGAATTGTACTTCTTGAATAATATCTTCGAACCCTAGTCTTCTTTATTACCATTAATACCTCTACTATCTTTATCACTGTGGGATTTGATTTGACATTTGCGTCTCTGTGCTGTGGTATGGCAACATGAACTTATGTACATACGTACGAAGTTCTACGTTGCAACTGACTGACTGATATACGTTTTACCTTCACATATATACCAGCTGCTTTGAATCGACTAACAGGGTTCAAGTTGGAAAATTTTGAAAGTATGGGCGATTTGTAAAACTCAGTTGGGGATAGCCTGCCACTTAAAGCCTTAGATTTGATTAGCATTTGACTAATTTAGATGATGATATGATTATGGATCACTTACAGAATATTGGACCACTGAGGAATATCATCTTAGCTGATTGTTGGTAGCGAATAACTGATAGGCAAAGTGCAGAATCTTTGTAGACGAGGTGGTATCGTGTTGCACTCTATTTTAGCCAATGAAGTCTAGAATAAGCAGCACCTATTACTTGAATGTAGCTCAAACTATCACAGATCACAGAATTAGTAAGTGAATATCTAGTGAGAACGTAGGTAACGGCTTCTACTGTAATAGCAGTTACGACTGAATTGTAAGCAGTACATTGGTGTGAAGAATGTAGAGAAATGTGTCCAGAAATGATATCAAGATTATATCTACCCTTTGGTGTAGTATAGAATATCGTAGTAGTCGATGGAAAACGCTATCGAGTTATGGACTAATAAAGATTTAGAGCTGACTCAAGGGTACTGGTGGTAAACATAATTCTGATTGGTGTTTTGTATTTGCCACATGATACTAATAAATGATTAGGAATACAACACTACCTATATAGATTTATTATTACTCAAAAATTCACTGTCAATTTAGATTTTATTTCTCAAAATTCCACAATTTTTTTATCCTATTTGATGGTCTGACGGAGTATTTTTTACTATCTTTTGATATACTAGTTTGTCTCAACAAGTAGTATAAGAAATAAAACTGAAAATTCTGAATTTTCATTCCTTATCAATGATTCTAGTCTTAGATATTGAATAACCTCTTGTTTTGTATGTTATTGTGTGTTGAAAATATGGATATCGTCCGAACTGAACAAATGATGCTTCCTATCAGCTTATCTACTTTTCTTCAAATTAATAAGTAGAATTTTTTGCTGAAGTACTCCTTTTTGCTAGTAGAGGTGAGTACAGTTTATAACGTGTACTGATAAAAACAATCAAATGAACTGTGGGACAACTTAACCGTAAACTGGTGCAAACAAAGCAGTCGAATATAGATTTTTTGTACACGTAATTCTGCTCTGATTAAACTGGTTCCAGTTACTTCTGATAATATTGCATCTTTTAATACATTAACTATCACTTAGTATATAGCCAAGAAAGCTTGTTACATCATGGTATTGTGTTCACTGTCTATCAAATTGGAAAAAAGGGACTATGTTCATAGGCTTATTGGCACCTCTAAGTGATTACCTTGACATGTGTTCTCGAGTTCTTAAGTATAACGCTCTCTAAAAGTCTGGCCTATTTTTCTAGTTCTAATGGAGCAGTTTAATTGATAAACCTATCACTGCTTTCTTATACTTTATTTGCTGCATCAATATTGATCTAGTTGAGTACGTAATGGCGAAACTGAAATTGATGTTAATGGATCTGTCAAGTCGATATCTTAGAATATTCCTTGTTATATTACCTTAGAAATCAAGTCTTAGATAGAATATTGTCTTTTCAACCGTGGCTATCTGTGTCTTGTTTTTCGGTTCAATTATGTATTTCCTTATTCAGTTAGTGGATTATCTGTTTCGTATTAATGTTAACTTTTATTCAGATATTCTTTCTTTCATACTATCTTCAAAGTATATTCATGAATACAAGTTCTAAACTATACCCACTCTTCTCTTCATAGAGATTTGTACTAAATCTCTCTCATGACACTGAATTACACATTAATCTTTCTTATTTCACATGATTTTATAAGCAAATTAACCATAACAGATTATGTTCCAATTTGTATTGACTCTTTAACATGAGATTTTAATCTTTTGACTAGCGTTCATCAACTGTAGGCTTAAATTATTATCTTATAACTACTTTTATGAACTTTACCATTTTGCCAGGATTTAAACTCAGTCAACTGATCATCCATTATTATCGTTCTTTAACATTGATTATTACAACCATGACATTTAAATACATATCTTAATATACCATCTAATGTAACACAATATTTATGCATGTTATCTGTACAGGTTAAAGCAGACAATATCAAAACCACGAATGTTCACTAGTAAATTCTGTCTTTGTAATCTTCTGTAGGGATTTTTTCAGATGATCGAATTGGTAAACAGTTAACCTTTTGGTTTGTTTATCTTATGGTTCAAAGTGAAATCATGAATGTGTGTTTCATCTTATTTTGGAATTAGTCATCTGAATGGACTATTAATTCACTTGTTGTGTTTATACTGCGATCGGAACCCACTATTTTCCTATTTTTAATGCTTTAACATTACGACTATTTGTACCACTGCATGTTGGATATTTAACCCGGCAATTTTAAGACACAACAAAAGCATAAACTTAATATCAATTTATCTTGTTCTACTTAGGTTACCAGGGCAATGTAAATCATTGTGTATAGATGTTCCTGACTACTTGAAGCGATGGATTAATTTGAAACAGGTTAGTTTATTCCAGTAGCTATTATAAATCTGTTCGTTATTGTAGTATATTTTTAAACTGCTAAACAATAATGGTTATGATTCTTTTGTTCAATATTATATCCTTGAATACAGTTAAAGAAGTCTCAGTAAAATATATGTAGTGCTACAACAACTTCCTATTTCTTATACACCTGTAGTGAAGTAGAACACAGGTGAGGGCAACCGAATTGTATTTAACGAAAATTACAGAGTTACTCAGTAAAATAGGAAAACCATATCGTAACCGTTAATTTGCAAATCTTCAATCAATTGTCTGACATTTCACTATTCATGCGTTTCATACAAATTCCATTGTGTTCCCACTCTTCCTTTCTTGATCTTCCCCCATTTTCTGCTGCCAGACATTACGTTTACACTCGCGTCATATACTACTTATAAGTACCTCACACCACACACCAAGAAGATTAGAAATGTATCAAAAAATATTTTTCAACAGTGACTTTCAGCTATTTATCTTCATCCTGTAGTATTTGTGATTAGTTAAACTAACTTATTATGCTCGTTCTGATAACATTGCATAATAATTAACTTTGCGATAGATTTTAAATGTAACAACCTCACAAGTGAACAAGATTATCATCATTCAAAAAGAGACATACATGTTTAATATGTTTTATTCCGATTACACAAAGCGCACTGATCACTACTGATTTGGTTTTATTTCTACAAGTTCTCATAATCCTGAAATCATTGATAACAATGTCATGCATCAGTACTAGACTGTGATGTTTTTTTCATTTTTGCATTTCTAGGTTATACAGATTAAAACCATTTTTGAAATGGGTCTGATTTTAGATGTACTAGATGTGGTAAAATTCTCTCTCAAAAACATGTTGATTAGATTTTTCAATGTAACCATTTCTCATTTTTCAAACATAAAACAGTATCATATGAATATTCTTTTTTTTCAAAAAATTAACTGATCCCTTTCACATAGTGTAGAACTTTATTTTCTCCACCAGTACATATTTTGAGCAGTTTTCCAACCAAACTATCAAAGTAGAGTCGTAGAATAGTTATAGTAAAGACAAGTTAAGCTTTCAGTTGTAAAGACTTTATATAGTTCTAGGATATAAATTACTATGATGAATATAAGAACAGGCAATAAGATAGTAGTTTAGTCAAGTAAATAAAGAGGAGAATAAAGTCATCCACCTACTAAACGGTAAGAATAACGGAATATAGTCATAATTATACAAAAATACAAATTTATCATTGATAATTAAATTGAGAGAGATCAGACTTAGTCTTTGATTGCGAATTCACCGGAACTAGTGATAGAGAGTGAAGCAGTCGAACGTGTAGACCGCTTCACTTATCTTGGGAGTCTCATCTGTGCTGATGGCCTGGTGACTGAAGAAATCTCAGCTCGGATATAGAAGTCTCGATTGGCTTTTGCCAACCTGCGTCACCTATGGTGCAGGTGCATCCACTCTTTGTGTGCTTTTTAATTCTAACCTTCTGAATTCCTCATCATTTCTATCTTTCTCCTTCTAAATTTGTCTCACTGAATTATACTTTTTGAATCATATCTTCTCTCCCTAATCTTCTCCATTACTGCTAATACTTCTACTATCACTATCACTCTTGGATTTGAAGTGACAGTTGCGTCTCTGTGCTGATGTGGTATGGCAACCTGAACTGATGTACTTACGTACGAAGTTCTGCTTTGTATTGTCAGTCATTTAAATAGATTTTGTTGACCACTTTAGTAACGGACCATAACTAATGCATAATTACGCAATGTGTTCTTGTCCTATTTCGATCGTGACCGATAGATAATGCAAATACATCTCACTATCCAGAAAAAGTACACTATAATCGTCCTTCAATATTATACTTTTTCCGTAACGACTTGCAAAATAACTAGACAACAAAGATGACACTGATATGGTTAACGTAGAATCTCGTCAGTTAGCTACATTCCAGTTGTTTTACAATGTCTATGATTTCAACATACTCGATTATTGTAAACGCAAATAGATTATCATCAAAAATTTAGCCCCATATAATGGATGAATGTATCAGTAGAATTAATATAAAATACTATGCTTATTTATGCAGACAAAAAGTTGGATCAAGTAATTGATCTTTTTTCGTTGTTTCGAAATTCATTACTTTTTCATTTCTAATATCCTTCCGCATTATGTATGAAAATGCATAAGATTCCCAATATGCTTTGAACTGCTTTGTAAATTTTTGGTTTCAAAGGTTTATTGCGATGTGATGGGTCAATTCCCGTTCGGTATGATGTCCATGCTGTCAGGATTAAATATAAAACACACCGGTCGTCATCACAGTGGTATTGGTAATACATATCATTATTAAAGATATTTTTATATTATTGCCCACGTCCGTAGTCTTAGAAACTAAGTTAGGTAACCAAAAATTTTCCTCAGGGAATGTCTGTTGAGCAACTGGTAGAATCGATAATTCCTGGTTGTCTGTTCTACAGTGATGTAAGAGTCCCCGTAACAAGCTCATTCATAACAGTTGTTTAGTATTGTTAAGTTCTTGGTAGCCCTTTAGAAAATATCTATTCAAGAAATTCACATTACTATTGAATTCATGGTGATCTTTATCTTGATTCGGCTGTTATTTCTACACTACTTCATTTCTAACTGATGAAAAAAAAATAAGTAGTGTAGATTTTCAAAGTATTATTTCAGTTAGTCAATTGATTGTCGATGAAAATAAAACCGGCCAAATTACTCAGACCTCTCTTTGAATGTAAACTAAAAAATGCCATTCAATCAAGGATGACAAAGGATTTTGTAGATCCGAATTAGGTTTAAATCCAGTGATATATGACACAGTCTAACTATTAACGAATTCATGAACTGATATTATGCTTTCATTTTACTGATCCTAGATTTCTCACAACTCTTCTAATTGTTGCTCACTTAATGGTTACGTAATAGATCAACATTGACATATGCAATCAAATATTTGTAACTGACAATTGTGTTGTATTATCATAGTCTATCTTTCATAACTGTAGGCTGATAGGAAACAAACTCATAAGTATTATACTCCATCTTAATAAATGGTTATTCACATAGTTCAAAAGTTCGTTTGATTAACTTTCTTTACACAAATTAGACTAAAAAATAATTTTGAAAATTAATGCTCATTTTATATCGTTATCACTTAGTTCTTGAGTGATTCGTTGTTTAGATTAAGGAACACACTTTAGTCAATCTTTGTAGGCATGTGTGTATCGTCTATGAATCGCATCGATATGGCCATTTTGTTACCAATTATTTAGACTAAGCAGATCGTGACTAACAGTGATTGGTTATCTAGTCTCAGTAGCTCAGAGGATGTGCAGTTGGGCATCTAAATCAGATTTTACTGTGTTTGAGCTTCGATTTCAAATATCAGTACTTTGATGCATACACATCCAGATAACTTAATCCTAAAGAGCTCGAAACGCCCATCCTGGATTCCATTGCTAGCCATAGTTCATTTATTCAGCATAACTCGATACTTATTTAGTTATATTTGGTATTATTTATATATTCGTATTGTATTGTTTTTCGTTTTGTAATTTCATTCTAGATGATTGTCACAATATTGCAAAGATTTTATGCGAATTAATTCGACGTGGTGCTACTCCAGATATCACTGGAAATATCAAATAATATATTGTTTAAACATTTTTTGACCGGTAATCTGTACATTTTTTTTTCTATTAGAAAATGAATTTATTCCATCTTGCATGAATTATATTGTACTATATCGGCGACTAAGTCGATACACCAAAATAAGTTGTAAGTGAAATTGATTATAATGCTTCATCTGGAGCCAAAACATAAGAGTAATATACAAATGGAAGTATCAATTACATTTCAATGTAAGACAGTGTTATTGTTACACAAAACATGTACGTAGATTTTCATACTTTCACTTAAAAACCATGCAAATGAATGTTACATTATTATGATTAAGAGTATCTATTATCAGTAATGAGAAGATGTCACAATAACAACCAAACTGAATATTATCAGCCTATATATACACTAAGCAGATTTACATCACAGATGCCAAAAAAGGTCGATTACTGAATTTTATTAAGTAGTATAGAGGAATAGACAAAAAGAAGTGAAACGTTAAGAAAAAATGACAAAACAAGGAGAATTGACATTTCCTCCAAAAGAAGGCATGTCTTTCCTTACTATTACTCAATTATTTTTAAGTGTGGAGACACGTAAAGACGACATTGGGATAGTCTGCTCTCATCAACGTCTCTCCAAAGGATCATCTTACTTTCCATTACTTGACAATAATCTACCCCTCCAGAAGACAAATCTGACATATCTGTAAGCATTAACCTAACTCTTCGATATTTTGATGTCTACTTGCATAACTGTCATGGTATCAGTTATTCTCCTACTTGTCTGTAATTAGTGTAAATAGTGCAAGAGTTTTATACACCTAATCTGTTCCCGTAATATGCTAGATTATTAACAGCGAGCCTGAGACTGCAGTACATGAGTTCGACTCTGTGACTGAAAAGCCTCAAAAGCAGAAGCTAAAAAAACTAATCTGTCACTGACTGACATTCTGATTGGTTTGCAAGCAGAGTGAAAAGTTGGTCCAATCGAAAACTCCAATCCAACTATTTCAGAAAAGTGCAAGGGTATATTGGAATAACGAAACGATTACTCACAAGGAAGGAGGAAAATACGGTTAGAACTACATCACTAGAAAAGACAAATTCAATTAGGTAGATCACGTTTGAATCATAACGATTTTGGGATAGAAGAGAACATGACAGTTATTTACAAATTAATAAGAAGCTTATGCCTAATGGAATTAAATAGACACATGAGCAAATGTCAGCAGCAATCTACAGACAATAAATTAAGCTAACAAAGGCGGAAGTTTTGATGCCATTGGTATATAGTTCAATCCTACTAAATTCTCATTATTTGACGCTAAAATTTCCATAATATCGCCCCCGTTGTCGTTATTATCGTGTCCGGTGCGTCATAGTCCATGGTTTTAGCCCAAATCAGTGTGAACGACTTTTTTGTGCTTGTTATTGTTGTTTTAGATAATCCACATTAACATTGTGACCAAACAATCTTCATTTTACAGTGGGCTGGAAATTGTTATCGCTATATAAATCTGCCTATACCATTACTCATTGTCTGTTCTGGTTTAGCAATCGATAGTAGTTAACTGAATTATATTTCATTCTCACCTTGGAATTGGATACTCCAGGTGCGCGGTAATTTTCATTGGTGCTCATTCCAATACTCTTTTCTAACTGTTCGTTATCTAGCCGTAATTCGGTTCGGTCCTCGCGTTGATTTGTAACTGGAACTACTCACCCTTTTGGATTTTAGCCTGAATTTACCGTTTGAAATTTCTTTTCTGAACGGTTGGATACCATTGCTCGATATATCTTGATCGTAATCCCTGTTTCCACAGAAACGTAGGCGTAGGTTCAGAAAGTAATGATGTTAGTGATCGTAATACTTGTTTGTCTGACGAAATGTGTGATAAATACCAAATAACTACTAAGTTAGGTTTTATAAATTCATAAGTAATTTATTTAGCTGCCTTAGCATGTACCAAAGCACTTTAACGGTGACCCAGTAAGTCACCAAGGTTTTACTGAGTTGAAGTACTGTTGATAAATAATAAATTACAAGAGGAAGTAAATTTTATACATTTAGCCATACGATGTACTGGAGCTACCCCAAAAGCTCTTAAATTTTACAAGTCCCTGCCAGTAGTCGAAGGAAAAAGAATACGTATACAGAGATTCAGAAGACTTAATCGTGGTGGGTAGAAGCAGCAAAAACAACCACATAAAGTTTAATGATAAACCGCAGGGTATTACTGACTTCTCGGATAGTCTATTAACTTATATCAATAGTAGGGTATTTCTGTAAGTTAGGAACCGGAATGTATGTCTGTAATTAAGATACTAACAGAACATCTTCCTAGTTGATTGAAAGCGAAATAAAGATTAGTCCTATTATTTAGGAGGCAGGCACAGCACTAGGATTTTCGTATACGTTGGAAGTAACTGGATGTGACGTGAGTCAGTCAGCATGCTTTTCGGTGTAATGTGTAACATAACAGTCACTAAATTATTATGCTCATTAGCTTCACATACATCGTGGAAGAATATGTAGCTGTGAACGTGTGTAGTGTAGTTGCACAGTTATTGTGTGTCGACTGTGAAATTGATGTATGTATGGCATTAGAGGAGTACGAGTGGAGTTTGACGCTGGATAGTTGGGTAATTGGTGGTAAATGAAATGTATCTAAACGTATGGGCAAACACAATCAACCATCAGATGGGTACATAGGAGAGTTGGTACAGAAATTGTAGTATTGACTGAAATTCGGAGAATACTGTGACATGAATTGGATGAACAGACCTCAGCGAACTATGATGCCAAGTGTCTTTTTCATCATAGTGAGACACAAGAATGGATTTGAAGAGGTTGACTTGTCGAATTGCGACTGTCCTATCATTGATTGTTTGACTTGTATGTTTGTTCAACTACATCTTCATATCCGTAAGTTTATTCATATACTAGTATATGGAAAATACACGTTTATTTGCTTGCGTAAAAAATGTAAAGGTATTTGTGAGCTGGTCCATATTAGACTGAGTGTTCTAATTCATAATGATCATTCACTGACCGATGGAATTAGAGTAGTCAAGTAGATTGAATATGTCTCTGAGAGCTTGAATGTTGGACAAGGAAGAGGGGGAACGGAAAAGAAAAGAGTGGATCGACTGAGGAATGATTAGTGAGTGACGATAATGTATGGCCCGTTGGCAATGCACGTCCAAACATTCATGAAGCTGAAGATTATGAGCAGAGCAACATTCCCTATGGACTTAGTTGTGTATTGATGTATCTGCACTGAACGCACATAAAAAAATTATTGTATTGGTGTGTATGAAATATGTCTGCCGATACTGACACAGTTCTTGGAAAATCAGACTAGTTATTTTAGAAATCCTTCATTTCACATTGTTCACTTTTCATGATGACATCATATAAGCCACGGTAACTCTATATACGACTTGATATAGAAGCAAACGGTAAGATGATAATAGTTTGCCTAAACATTAGTTTCATAATCGCGAATGTACGGGGGTTCTCGAATTTTCTGCTGTTAAAATACATGCGAACAGATGTTCTGTATTGTAGTACCAAATAATGCACATAATCATCCGAAGATAAAATAGCTGACAGGGAACTTATAATGAGGATTCCTCGTAGTTTACAGACACTGAAATTATAAGGTTAGTAATACAACAATGTAATTCTAGTTAGTTAATTTTAAGCAGTAAGTTGAAGTACGTTCGAATAATTTGTCTGCTACTAGTCCACGTGGTAAATTTGAACACATGAAGAACGATTTGCTCCATATTTTCCTTCTCACTTAGTTAAAATCTGTCCTAGAAAGTACACAACTCATTATTTGAGAAATATTCCCGTATAATACCACTATAAACAACCTTTCCCATTCCACTAATAATTCGTACAGAATTGTTAGAAATAAACAGATAAATAAAAAGACAAAATTAAATCGACACCATTATTTATACTACTACAGTAAGAGTAATTAGTAACTATGACAACTGGACCATAACACTAAGAATGATCATGGTACAAATTATAATATGATTATAATATGTATCAAATAAATAAATAAATCAACGGACAGATAATAAAAAATAATTGAATATGAATAATGACTAAAGGAAAGACAAAGAAAATAAATAACAAAGTGCACGTAAGTAAATAAATAAATAATTAATTAAAATAGAAACTGAAAATAAATAAATGAATAAATAAATACAATTGCACGCACACACACACACACACGTGTTATCAAAGCACGTCTAACCAGTTTTTTCTTTTACTGGTAAAAGAGCAATCAAAATGATTAAAATCCAGAGTTCATAACACCATACCAAATTAAGACTACTCACAATTATACAAAATAAACTCAAACTCATGTATGTCAAAAGCATACCATGTGGTTTTCTTTAACCCCTTTCTTTGATTGAACTCTGAAAAAATACAATAATCACAGCATATGAAAAAGGAAAAACATCGCTGTACACATATGCACAGACACACAGAGACGAGCACAAATTCATAGAAAATAACACGTGTGAACAAGACAGAAAGGCAGAGGAAAAAAGAAATACAAAAGACAGAAACGGGGAAATATATATTGCAATTATGACGACAACAAAACAGAAAAGATTTGATTTATCATGACTAACAAAAAAAATGCAAGTACTAGGAAGACAATTAAGAGATGTACGCGTGAATGAACGGAAGGTAAATTTTAAAAAGTGCAAATTTCAATGATCATAATAGTAATAAACGTATATATATATAAATATAAGGTCAGATGGAATATAAATATGTTTCATTTGTCGTAGAAGATAGCTTCGTTAAAATGAGATACAATTGGTGAATATGAACAAATACACATACAAGTCATAAATATGATAAATTACAGAAGCATCAAGAACCAACGACGGTAAGACTGAAGAATATAGTACTATGATACTGCAATCCAATAAAAGTAACAGTAGAAATAACTATTATTAATATATTGTAATAATCCAAAATTTATTCAAAATTTCACTGGGGAGAGGAAAGGTTAAAGTTAATTCCGATGAATGAATTAAACCTTATGTGTATTATTTTCAGAGATAAATATTATACGGTAATAATGTACAGAAATAAACTACCACATTGTACAAACAGACGTTCAGAGAGAGAAATTATAAAGATAGCAATACTTAATTTCATTTCTTAACAACTTTTTCTGATTACTTCATCGCTTACACACATGTGATATCGGCAGCCGAAAATTATTGTTTTTAGATGCAACACGTGATGAACCCACGTTATTTGTAGGCATAGCACAACACCAGTCACCGGAGAGTAAACCATTTGGAGCAAGTGTACCTGGATGGGATAAATTGAGGCCAGATTGATTTGGCGCTGCGCCACGAGTAGAAGAAAAGTTACAACCAACAGATGTTCTGTACAATGATTCATTTAATTTTATATTACCTTCATTAAAAAATCAGAAAAAAAACATGATACTTACATATTTCAATAAAAAACCAGTCAGTCGAACTAATATCAGTAAGTTCTGTAAAGAATTTTTTCCAAATTTCAACGAATAGTTCCAAAATACTCGAACCATGAATAAATGGGAAACAATTAAAAAATATTATATTCGTGGAAAGCCAGTCGAGCCTCTTGAATCCGTTCTGAGATTTCGTCACACACCCAACCATCAGCAGTGATGAAGCTCGAGATAAGTGAAGTGGTTAACACACTCAACTACTTCACTCCCTATCACTAGTTCAGGTACCAACGTAAGTCAATCTTGAAGCAGCACTTTGCATTAAGAGGGAGGGAATCGCATCCCGAACACGTTTGCATTGTTGCTTAAGGTGGTCAGAAGAGTGCATTTTGTCAGTGTTATCACCCGCATATTCTAAGCCAATAAGTGAACCTCCTGACAGAAGATCAACTTCTGAAAAGTAAAACAATGAATGTTTCCAACTGTACAAGCATGTTTGTAACAAGATTAGGTAAAAATGGGGAAAGTGAACATCCTTGACGAACACCACCTCGGCCTGAGTTGTACGAGTAGAGTCTGTACAATGTCAATGTACGTCTTATGTAAACCTTACAATAACTGACGCCGACACAGAACCTCACGATCAAGAGTCGAATTCCGCTTCAAGATTGAGAAATACTACTATTCTAGGACATCTGAACGAGTTTCTATGTTCTAGGACCTGATGTAATGCGAATATTCAGTCTATACATCCATGTCCAGGTCTGAGACCACACTAGTTTTCTTGAGTCTTCTCTTTACGATCTATAGTTAGGCATCGAAGTATCCTTGAAGCTAATATTTAAGACACTATATCAGTTAAAATGATTCCCCCGTGATTGTCACAAGAGGATTTTAGTCTTTTTTACAGACTGGGACAATCAGTGATTGGGACCAGTAGATGGACTAGGTCCAGTTCCCAGTTTCTACCAAAGATCTCAGTCAATCTAACTGCTAAAACTGGACCACCATCCTGTGACCTATTGCTGCCGCCTACTCAATCTCTTCTGACTTCACTACCCACCACTATTCGAGATCATTGAGTAGTATTTTTGCCAGCCTGTGCTAAGCTGACTCCGTTCTTCATTGTGTTCAGAGCTAGGTGGGATGCGCTTCCAAGCATCTATCAGTTCAGCAGATGCTAATGAAATTCACTGCTTCCACCTAACCTTATGTTTTAAACTAGTGGTAGATATCACTACTGTTTTCACAGCTTTATAGATACTATTCCAAGCTGTCTCGAGATGGGCATTATTTAAATGACTGCTGAACTGTTTTCCTGGTTGCTCCTGAAATATAATCATAGCTTAGCTATCGTCATAATCTGTTATTTGAGCCACGATACCATAAGATTCACGTACGTGTTTTCTTTTCGCTTAGTCTACCTACTTGAACACCAAAGTTATCCGCCACTATTACTAAATTTTTGGAGGTCAGAAAGGTTTCTATGAAGTTCATCTTTTACCTAATCCGAGATGCAGTCAGTGTGAGCGTGGGCAGAGATAATGAAGAGGCAACGGCCAGTGTCCGTCTTTTCAAGTCTTTACTGTCTCGTTTAGTCGGACAGTGCAAAAGGAACTATCTACTAGGATCCAGTCTAAGAGAGCTAGTTTAGCCTTAGAACTCCATGCAATAACTATACCAGTGAGGCCAGGTGAGGCATGAGAGTGAAGTGTAAAACGAGTTGGTTCTTTATCTTGATAAAGTGAGGTCAGATGAATGTCTCTACTCGGATCCTGTATGCACGTTTCGGAAACGCAGCATACATCGATGGCACGAGGTTCTAACGTTCCTGTTAAACAAGCTTGTTTTCCTAATGGACACAAGGTTCGAACATTAAAGGCTCCAACATGTAGTTTAGAGCGTGGTTTCAGGAGACCAGGAATAATGTTTCGTGTACTCAAATCATTTGCATCAGCGGTGCCAGCTGATAAAGAAGTGAAATAAGAGTTGGTTGTGGAAATAAGAGTTATTAAGAGGTGTACGAAGGATTTGATTGTGACCAATTTGGCCTCGTGTGTTGTTACAAGGTAAGAGGGTGGTTTCAAACACTGTGCAAGGCTATTTCTCAATGAACCTGAAAAATAAGTTAGATTAGCGTCGGTCTTCGTGACCTGGGAGCGTGAGCGCAGAGCCCGAGGAACAACTGAGTGGGGCCAGTCACGCACGGCCTTTTTATGAAGTGATTGTGTTAACATCGCTCTTCAAAAGGCTTTACCGCTGGAGACGGTAATCCGAGAGTTAAGGTGAGGTGTGACATTTTTAGGGTCGACCTTTTCTAACCTCTTCCTTCCTTGTAAGAAGGCAGCATCGCTGCAGATGATGGTTGTCCGAGGGAAACATCTTACTGCTGTCACACTCCTCTGCAGTCAGCAGTAAGACTTCGCCATCAGACCTTAAGTAGCTGTTTTTAGTCTCACTGTTCTCCAATCGACCTACCTTTGCATGGTAGAACCTACAAGAACATATGTTTCAGCCAATATAGCTCGGTCAGGCCATCACGATAGACAGGTCCGACCACCATGACAAGGTAGCAGCTATGGTTGGGTAATAGTCTTAATACCCAGTTGAAATTATTTTAAATTTGGAGCTTCCACGAATATAACTTGTTTTTGAAAAGTAAAAGTGTAATGAATGAAGATTGAAAGACCTAATGGTTGGCATAAACGATTTATTTGAAGATAGTTTACTAGCCAAAATGTTTAAATTTTATCTTCAAACATCCATTAGCAAAAGAAACGTATTCTTGGCTATTTTCTAGTCTTCAAAACACTGCTCACGCCATGCATTCGCATACAACACTCTTTACCTTGGCAGTAACTTCAGGGAAACACTCCGCTGCATATTTAAACGCCCGTTACAGATAACTTTTGTTGTGAGTAGTACACATCACAACACCACGGTACTTATATTAGGAAATATCAAATTCGTTTGCAGCACTTGTTTCACGTAGTCATGTTTGAAGGAAATGGTATTAAATAATTATATTACTAGTGATTCCATATATACATTGACTTTAATAAACATTCCAGTACAAATATTAGAAAACATACGTTATATCATTAAAATGTATTAGAGAAGTTTTCACTATGCTATCAGCGAAGTTGCAGCCCTATTTTATATACATAATTATGAGTGAAATTTTATGAAGTTACAATGTGATCATTGTTCAGAGCGACACAATATCACAATACACTTTGATGTTAAGTAGTTGGGGCCAATTACCAATAACCTATGAACGTAGGATTTAGTGCTTCTTTGCACTCCTTACATTGCAGATACTTCTTGTTTAATGATTACGTTGATTGGTTGACAGGATTCTAATAGCTTTAAGAATTAGGCCAAATAAAAACCGTTTTGTATAATCATTCTAATCCTACAGAAAGTCAGCAGTACCTCAAAAACATCTTCAATCGTAGTTTCGGGTAAAGTGGATTTGGATTTTTCGTACGGTAACAGTTTCCTAAAAGGTTCGAAGTCAACTTACCCGATAAGTGCCAGGAAACACTGAACTCAGTGTGAAGGTTTCCCACCTAACTACACCTAATATTTAACAGGGTGTACACATACAATATTAACTTAAAAAGGATAGCAAAGAGATTATCTTTTGAAACCGTATATATCAACAGTTTATACAGATCTCGTACAGTAGAAAAGACAAATAAATAACTTGATTTATTATGGTGACTGAGTAATGTTATCAACGTTCCATATAAGAAAATACGGCTATCTAACCTATCAATAGATGAAGCATAGAAGTTACTTAAAAGTACAATTTCTTCAACCGATGTAAGTTAAACTCAACCTATTCATATGAAGAAACCTACTAGGAAATCAGATGATAAATTTTAAAATGAGTAATAATTTAGACAACCGATGAATATCTAGCGCTAAGAATGAATAAGTCGAAATAACGTGCCAAAATATAATATGAGAAGGATAATGTTTAGAAATGTTGCAACTGGTGAACTGTTGAGAGTTCTTAAAATCATATGGCAAAAGGTATCAGAGGTTTCAAATACAGTAAACGTCAGAAAACTAACTTGGATCTACAGATCCTGTTGATGACCAATGAGGCATCGGTGGACAACCTGGGGAGTTACCAAGACCGATAGCAGCAGCTGTTGCCATTGCGGATATAGACGCTCCATTTTGGTGTGTAGGAAGTGCTTCGTTAATATAACCGGCAGCCAAATGGTTGGTCGGCCTAGGACCTGGAATAACGGAGGAGGTAGGTCCTGTCCATTGACTGTTTAATGAACGCGATACGCCATTACCATGATTCCAGCCACCAGGAACAATTGATTGAGCACCCAAAGCCATGTTCGAACTTAGAGAAGGTGGAGCTAGTTGACAAAGACCAGCAGCAGCTGAATGATTCCAAGAGTCGATGGAATTAACCAATGGATCAAGAGAATTATGCGCAGAACCAGGTACAGTCCCCAACTGGGCGAAACAGATTGAATCCCAACCAGCCTGAGACTTGTGTGCAGATTGTTGATTATATAATGAGTCGTCATTTAATGTGTGAACTATGAAGTGAAAAGAACGGTATAAAAGTCATCAAAATACAAAACATAGTTAAAGCAGTAGTAAAATGGTTTAAATACAGCTTTCAATGATCTGGCCACCAAATTGTTTCATGGTGATAATCAGGTAGTAAACATGTAGCCCTCATATTAATTGTGACCCAAAACCAACAACAAAAGCGTGTACTTGTTTGTCGAACTACATCAATTATTTCAAATAAAAAATGCTAGGTAAAAAACACATGTAAGTGTTACAGGGAATAGAAAAACAAGTTCTCTGATGTTGAGATACAACTTTTTAACTAACATGAATGATTCCAGTATATGATATAGTCCATGACATGCATTAATATGTCTAACACACTATGGTGAGTACTTGAAAAGAGTGGCAGTTATGTGCACATCCATATTTGCGGAAACTCAGTGCAATATGTTCAATTTACACTAAAACTTTGGTGGCGAGAAAAAATTTAATAAGAACATTAGTGATGACTATCTTATAAATTTATTTATAATGACCAACAAAGTCAATTATGCGCATCTGCAATAGACTGACAAGTCTCTCATTAACCCCCAAGCGGCTTTTCTTAATGTCAATACTCAATTTGTATATTTATGTGCACAGCTTATGTCACTATTCCTGACAAGAACGAGCTAAATAGAAGTTATTTAATCGAAGGTAGGACGCATTCAGGCAGTAAAACCACCAAACAACCTTTCATTGATGAGTATTGTTTCGTCTGTTCTGTGTAACATCAAGACTCATAACACAGAATCCTCAGATGAGCAACGGAAATAAACTCTTGAACTCGACAGAAGGAAAACAAATTTAAGGTACTCTACTCTAGGAACACTACAAATTAATACAAAAACTACCCACAATTCTACCTGCACCAGGATACTTTTCAATCTGCTTCCAAGTGTGTAACTCTGAACAAATGGTGTTTTACACCAACTGTATCATAGATTACGTTGAACAAGCTTTCGGAAAATGGCCATTTGGCAACTTCAAACAGCCTAAGTAGTCTAGAACTTCATGACAGAAATGAACTCTTCAACAAGATAGGGTAGAAGCTAGGAATAACCAACATACTTGTGGTGGCCGAAGTTGTCATACCATATTAGCACAAAGGGATGAAGTCAGCAAAGTGAATAATAATGTAGCACATAAGGCAAAAAATAAGTGCACTCGCGCCACTGTGACGGGTACTGAAACATGTCATTAAGTCTCCAAACGTTGTTCACGATGAGTGCGCTGTTCCTAAGCATATAGTTTGGGTCTACCAGTATGAATCAGTCCAACCGTAGTAGACTTTGTAGACTAATGCTACGTTTTGGTTTAGCAACCCTCATTTTTCTTTCAACACTTACAGCAGTAAACGCACCCCGTCGCACCAGGAAGTAGTTAGAGTTAGATAACACACATTCTAACGACCTCAGTCGATGGATATTCACAACCAAAATACATAAGTTCATATAAAATGAATTTTTAAAAATATAATTACTTTGCAGGATTATATTTGCAGACCAAGTCTCTGGTACTGTCATATCAACATAATTTATATAAAGGCTGTGGTACTATTCAAGCCTTAGAGCTAAAGTGAGTTGATTTTAGTGCTTATCTGTGATGATTGTAAGCAATGGTGACTTCTTTGAACATTATTCAGCGTCTAGTTCGAGTTACAAAAGCTACAATACCTAGTGTGTCCATTGATTTCTCTCCGGATAGAATACTGATTTAATCGTGACTACTTGGTATGAATTGGACAATCTTGGGAATTACTAGTTAATATGTCAATCCAACTACTTCTACTTATTATGTTGTCGCCCAGTTTTAACCAAATCGTTTGATTTAAAAAGCAATGTAACATTGTTAGGAGGTATTACATGATGGCTTATATAAAAAGTAGAATCATTCAGCATTCGTTTCTTCAAGATCTTTAAAATCACGGTAAATACTGGTGTAGTGAAGGAGAACACAGGTGAGGGCAACCGAATTGTAATTATCTCGAATTACAGAGCTTCAATTTGGG